AAGACGATTCGTTGTACCGGTCGACTTTAATTCTCATCTAAATTTAGTCTTTTCCTTCCCCCCCCCCCCCCCCTCCCCTCCCTCCCGCGCGAAGCGCGGAAGCTATTACGTTTCATTAAATCATTAGAGAAAGAAGACGATTCGTTGTACCGTTCTCGACTTTTAATCCTCATCTGAATTCAGTTTTTCCCTTCCCCCCTCCCTCCCGCGCAAAGCGCGGAAGCTTTTACGTTTCATTAAATCATTACGAAAAGAAGACGATTCGTTTTAACGTTCTCGACTTTTAATCCTCATCTGAATTCAGTTTTTTCCTTCCCCCCTCCTGCGCGAAGCGCGGAAGCTTTTACGTTTCATAAAATCATTGGAGAAAGAAGACGATTCGTTGTATCGTTCTCGACTCTTAATCCTCGTCTGAATTTAGTCCCCCCCCCCCCCCCCCCCCTTCCGCGCGAAGCGCGGAAGCTTTTACGTTTCATTAAATAATTAGAGAAAGAAGACGATTCGTTGTACCGTTCTCGACTCTTAATCCTCGTCTGAATTCAGTTCCCCCCTCCCCTCCCGCGCGAAGCGCCTAAGCTTTTACGTTTCATTAAACCATTAGAGAAAGAAGACGATTCGTCGTACCGTTCTCGACTTTTAATCCTCATCTGAATTCAGTTTTTCCCTACCCCCCCCCCCCCCCTTTTCCTCCCGCGCGAAGCGCGGAAGCTTTTACGTTTCTTTAATCATTAGAGAAAGAAAACGATTCGTTGTACCGTTCTCGACTTTAATTCTCATCTAAATTTAGTTTTTTCCTTTCCCCCCCCCCCCCCTCCCTTCCGCGCGAAGCGCGGAAGCTATTACGTTTCATTAAATCATTAGGGAAAGAAGACGATTCGTTGTACCGTTCTCGACTTATAATCCTTATCTGAATTCAGTTTTTCCCTTCCCCCCTCCTGCGCGAAGCGCGGAAACTTTTACGTTTCATTAAATCATTAGAGAGAGAAGACGATTCGTTGTTCTGTTCTCGACTGTTAATCCTCATCTGAATTCAGTTCCCCCCCCCCCTCCCCTCCCGCGCGAAGCGCGAAAGCTTTTTTTCCCTTCCCCCCCCCCCTCCTTCCCGCGCAAAGCGCGGAAGCTTTTACGTTTCATTAAACCATTAGAGAAAGAAGACGATTCGTTGTACCATTCTCGACTCTCAATTTCTTTAAAAAGGGGGTGGGTTTTTTTCTCTCTCTCTTTGGACTCCTGAGAAATGTAAAAAGGGGGTTATAAAATATCTTGAATATCATAGAAAAATTGATCAAATCCCGGGATCAAATTCCTGAAATTCCTGCTAGCTTTGAAAGCTCATTCAGGATTATTTCATTTTGAAAATTAAAAGCATTGCCCCGCAGTCCCCCTCGATCGACTAGAGCTCACCTGAAATCGGGGGGGGGGGGGTGTGGTACATTTAGCAGTGATCCGGATTTTTTTTTTTTTTTTTTGGGGGGGGGTCTCCAAGGTAGGAAAAGCCAGCGAAAAGCCGGCGAAAGGGGGATTCAAAAATGTTGGCAGTCCTGAGATAGGGTTGGGGGGCGCTTTCAAAGGGAGGGAACGAGCGTACGCGTACCCTAAATAACACTAAGTGGGAGCCGGGCATCTGCTGTACATTATTGCACTTTTTAAGCGCTCGCGCGCTCGCGCACTTTACGTAATAATAATATACCTTGCAAAATAACGAAAAATTATTCTGAAGTTTATGAAGTGCATGTTCGCGCACGTCGCCAACTATTCTTAATGATAGTGACATACTGTATACGTGTAGGCTATACAGTTTTACATACATAAAAAAATAACTAATTTCTCATGCATTATGCTGAAATTGAAACAATCACATTTTTTCGTCTTTTTCTTCTTCTTCCTTTTTTGTCTCTCTTTTTTTTTGTAATATCAGGGGGGATGATTGTACAGGCCATCCCCCCTACCTCAAGCCAGGGGGGATGCACCCCCCCCCCATCCCCCCCGGGATTTACGCCCCTGATGATGGTCCTAGATTTTGGAATTCTCTAAGTGAAAGTATTAAAAATAGTCCATCCCTAAATTCTTTCAAGAAAAATCTATAAAAAAAATTCCTCAAATCTTATAGTAATATACAAGAATAATCCGATAACAGTTGGTAATCATCTTAATTTCCCATTTAGGTCTTCATCATCTGCTCGATTAATTTAATATTTATTTGGTCTTATGATCTTACCTTTCCAAAATTAACATTTTAACTTACTTTTTCCGGTCATGATTTGTCCTGCTTCTTCTTCTTCTTCTTCTTCTTCTTCTTCTTCTTCTTCTTCTTCTTCTTCTTCTTTCCCCCTTTTCCCCTTTCCTTCTTATCTGTTTTACTTCTCCTTGTTCGTTTCGTGTTTGTAAATTGTATGTTGTTTTGAAATATTGTCTTGTGTTTTCTAAGTCTTCGTAGGCAAAATTTTAAACTTTTTTTTTTTTTTTCTGGGGGATCCACAACCTACAAGCACTGCTTTTTAGTGAATCCCCCCCCCCCATTTCCTCAGAAATTAAATATTCTTGTAATAATTTTATTATGTGCAACGTTTATTTGTATAGTTTCTTGAAAAATGAATTATGTATGAAATCAAATGTAATATTTTTGTTTACCTTTCTGTTGGAAATGAAATAAAATATGAAGAAGTACAGTGGAAGGAATATAATAAGTAACATTTCATACAAAAATTACGCAGTGTTTTCATCAACCTTCAACAATGTTACAGAGTCAATTTAATCGCCTCTAAGTAATAACAAAAAAGACTAACGCCATTAAAGATGTTACCAGTATTAAATAATGATACACAATATATTCAAATGATTTGTCTAGCTCTGAATGCTGCACAAAGTGAACCAGGAACAAGCCTAAAATCTAGTTTATTACTCCTTAGCAAAGGGTTGCTATCTCAGTGATTTCGGAGCCTGGGGTGTACATATCACAAATATATTTGGATTCCTTGACAGCGCTATATAATTGAATGTTGCTAAATATTTTCTCACAAATTGGGCCCCCTACCCTGTACTGCCGCCGGCTGGATCCACCCCTGAATATAGTATACCGACCCATGAAGTGCACATCCACACGCATAGGCCTTTGCAATTCAATCGTTTTTATATAAAGAGTGACTCAGATCGTGCCAAGCGTCTTGACTATTTTTAATTTCTATTTCTATTTCTTGAAAAAAATTACTTTTGAATATACTCTCCACGAATTTATTACGGAAGCCACCTGATCAGATCAGATATTCATGAATGAACCATAAGAACATTATGACATGTCTGAAGGCACAAACGGTCAATAAGATGACGCCTCTTACATTGATTGTATATGACTTATAATTCGATTTCTTTCGTCTTAATCATCTGCTGAAAATTCAAGGACCCTCCAAATCTTGGGAGGAATGTAATTATTTGAAAGATACTATATTTTTCATGGAAGAGCTGCTGATGAATTGCATCCTTGAAACATCCCTCTTCGATTTTTTTCCTTCAGTATTAACCGAGTCAATAACATGAATTTTCCCCTCTCATTCCCCATTATACTCCTCTCTCTCTCTCTCTCTCTCTCTTTCCCCTTCTCTCTCTCTCTCTCTCGCTCTTTCTTTTTTTCCACCCTTACTCTAACTCCCTCCATCTCTTTCAATCCCCTCCTATCCATCTCTCTCCCCCCCCCCACCCTCTCTCTCTCTCTCTCTCTCTCTCTCCTATCTCTCCTATCTCTCATTCTCTCTTTCTCTCCTATCTCTCTCTCTCTTTCTCTCTTTCTCTCTCTCTCTCTCTCTCCTCTCTCTCCTATCTCTCATTCTCTCTTTCTCTCCTATCTCTCTCTCTTTCTCTATCTCTCTCTCTCTCTCTCTCTCTCCCCCCCCCCCCCTCTCCCTTCTCTCCCTTCCTTCTCTCTTCATTAGGAAAAAATGATCCGCCTTTATTATATACATCACAACGCACAAATTAAATTAAATTGAAGAACATTATTTATGCAATCATTTTGTAATTAATAAGCCTATGTTATGATGCCTAATGCCTGCCTAAGATTGTTTAGGCCTCTTTATTCATTATGAATGAATATGGGGCCTCTTAATTTTTATTTTCATGTGTGATTAAAAGATATACTAAAAAAATCCTATCTTTAAACATCAGCTCGGATTTTATTTTTGTTGTTGATTTTTTAGCAGTCACCTCAGCGTGCAAATAAGCGGCCCTTTTGACGATAAAGAGCATTGTGTAAAAATGCAAAAGGAACCTTGAACCACCATTTATTTAGTGGCATATAGAAGATAACTCAATTATCTATATTTTATCACAGGAAATCGTCCTTGTATATGGTCAAATTCCTAGAAAGTTACAATTTTTTGTTGTTGATGTGTCAAAATATTGAAAATAAGTTTTGATTCACTTTGAATCATGTTTTTTGATAATAATTACTTCTTATTGAATTGTTATCAAAATGTAGGTAATTCAATATTTTTTTGTGTGCCACCAAACACAATGTTGGTTCAAGGTTCCCTAACATTAGTATTTGACAAAATACATTACTATTTTTCGTCAATAGAGCTGCTTTTTAGACGGCGCCTCCGATTTATGGGGTGACTGCTTCAAATAAAGAAAAAAAAAAAACTCTGAAGTATATGGTGTATTGTGATATTTTTTTACATTTTATGGAATAACCAAATAGTGCTTAGTTTGTGAAGTAGTAGTGACAACCAGCTCTAAAACCAAGCATGGTAAATTGATATTCGCCCCCAAAGACGTTTAAATATAATTGCCCCCCCCCCCCCCCCCCCCGCTAATATGTCAAAAGTAGCTCGTTTCAATAATGCTACGGTCACAAAAGTTCGTACGAACGATAACTTCGTACGAATCTCCCTGTTTTTCCATTGTCTTCCCGAATTTCCATTGTCTGAAAAATCGTTCGTACGGCGTTCGTAGCAGTTCGTAATGGCATTTATGACCGAGGCTGTACTTGCGCAACGATTGCTTCATTCACTCGCGAGCTATTTTTAGAACATGTCGTATTCATTCGAGCACATTAGGAGCGCTAGCGACCAGCTGGTTGCACAAGAGAGAAGAAGGAATCGGAGGACATTATTCACATTTTTAGGAGCTTTAACAGCAAAGGATCCTGTCAGTTCGAGCTTGTAAGTGTTCAGACTATTGAAAATTTGAAATTGTAAGTAGTATATCCCTTCATTTCTCCAGTTTCTCCCCGGAAATATATCCAGATTACAATTTATATTGTCCCACATGCTATAATTTGTGTAAGTAATTTTGTCTTTGGGTTCTGAGTAACTCCAGGGAGCTCCAGTCCAGAGCCTGCATAGGAAAACGATTCAAACAGCGGGTTGGGTCACATTTTTTCGAAATTTAAAGAAGTAGTAGACTAGATCTAATTACAATTATGACTTACAATGTTTTTCGACTCCTTTGGACATCCGTTCAACCACTTTAAATTATAATTTGAAGAAGTTTTTGAGGGAAAAAAGGGTGATTCAAGTCCTGGTCCTATAAACATGATAAACCCAGTTTATCCCACACATAGCTGCATTACTATCCTGGCTGTGTATTAAAAACTGTGCTATTGATTCTCAACATTTCAAACATCACTGTACAAAACTCAAATGCTTTTAATCGAAATCAGTTCTTGCATGTAGACCCTAAGTGAAAATTGATGACTAAATAGCAGTAAAATACAATTTTTTAACTATAGAGTCTAGATCTACCGATGTTAGAAAAAATAATTGAAAAATTCAAATTGTAAGTCTACTGTCAAACTTGCCGATCAGCCACATCGGCATGATTATGTGCATTCGTGTAATGAGAGTGTATTAAGTATTCATGTGTGCAAATGCTGCCTATTATTAACACGTAGTTCAGTGCTAGAGGTCAATACGCATTAGCATTGACTCTCTATGCTTTGCTGGAGTGGTTCATCCCATAGGCCTATATCATATATCAAGAGAAAGTATGCATGCACGGTATTAGACCAAAAGCTTCAGTCTCTCTATATCGTCGGTTGTTCCACTGAGACGACGTCTGGCTCCACTAGACCTCCGTATATAGAGACTGAATGCTCGCCTATGTCATCGTACAGGGAAGATACAGTCTACGGGTATACGATAAGACGATACTGCCCTGACGCTAAGTTTAATCCTTTTTTGTCATAATCACAGGCACAAACAACTACAATTGGCATTTCAAATAATAACAAACATGATAAACATTAAGAAAATATGTACCTTGGACCTCTGCATACATGTATATGAAATCTTCTTCAAAAAAGTGTTATTATCTCTTCCACTTGACTGTCTTCAGACTGTGTATGGGGAATGTCGACAAATGTCAGTTTTATTAAAGAATGACCTATACCAGGCGGTTATTTCCGTCTAGCACGGTATGTACTGCGCATGCGTACTTTCCCTACGCCATGTTGAATGAATGATGTACAGTACAGTAATTTGTTAACAAAATCAGAAAGGATGCAAAAGACGGCAGAATTTACTGATCTTTGAAAATATTTTCATAATTTCACACCCAATTCTAAAAAAAAATTGTCTCTGTGTAATTTTATGTGGCTCTTTCTAATTGGTTGTATCAGATTTTTTTAAATACAAAAAAGTCTGCTCAAGGTAAATGATTTGCAAATGCTAACAAAACAGTAAGCGAAGGAAAATCAGTGGTGGTTTCTTCAGTTTTTCTACATAATTTTGAGCTGTGCATTAGTTGGAAATTACAGAACTGATTTATTACGGTCATTTACGATAACGGTATGATTTTGGAAAGTGTTTCAAACTTAGAGTCAGAGAAATAGAGTTAGAGATGATGCTAGTCAGTGTGGTGGTTGATCTCAGATTTACAGTGTTTTTTTGTTCCTTCAGAAACATAGGAAGCATGGAGATGCCTAAGAGACAGAGCAGCTGTTCCTTGACAGACAAGAGTAAAGCTTGGAAGTATCTGGCTGGTATCAAACTCTCCTCACTCCAGCCGAATAAAGTCACAGAGGACTTTTATGAAGAACCAGAGGATTGTGTCCCTGTTGATAAGAGTGGTACGTCAGAATCACCTTATGATATGTTTTCTTTTATGGATAATGAATATAAATCAAATTATTAACATCTGGTATCTACTTGTTGGCATTGTTGCACCCGAGTAATTATAAACTTAAAAGTTCATAAATGTATCTCTTTGATAGCATTAAGTGACAGTTTTTATGTTCTGGCCTATGTGTTTCTCTTTCTCACTCTCTCTCTCTCTCTTTCTTTCTCCCTCCATCTCTTCCTCTCATATTGCATGATAAGACCATTATTGTAACAGGATTCTAATGATAGATAATTGTAGTCTTATGTTTCAAAATATCCTGACTGTTTCTTTAGGAAAACATTTACATTCATCTGATGAGTACACAGATTCCAGAATATTAATACTTATGAAGATTAGATGTGATTTATTTTTTTACTTTTCTCTTCTTTATTTATCCGCCATCAGAGCCTGAAGTCTACACAGTATCAAATGCAATGGTCTGTTCCCTATGTGACTGCATATTTGAGGATAGACATCAACAGGTAATTGTTGTTTCCTTTATACTTAATAACTGAACCTAAGAACATTCAAGTTTGTTCAAATCAAACTTAGTAATGATCTAATTAAATAGAGTTCTAGAACAGCAAAGATCTTTAATAAATGGCCTTATCAGTGTTTAAAAACTCTTGCATTTTACTGTAATGGGGGGGGGGGGGGGGGGGGGGGGGGGGGGGGGCAAGACGCCTGGGAACATTTCATGTTCCCCAGTGTCATAGTTCAAAGACATTTGGCAACAGCTCTAATTGTGTCATTTTAATGTAGTGACTGTTTTGTCATTTTCACTGGTATTGAAGGAAAAAAATGCTCTTGTTCTCTAAATGTTACTTTGATTTGATTTTTTAAAATCTTAGATTTCAGAATTACAATAATTTTGGTATTCAAAGTCTGCTTGATATGAGATATTGAACATAATAATGGGATATTTTGTTGATAATAATTAGTGTCGATCCATTCTTTGTTATCACTTCCACTGTTGAAAAATTTGTTGTTTTCCTATGTTACAGAAAGCTCACTATCGTCTGGACTGGCATCGGTTCAACTTGAAGCAGAGGATAATGGGACTTAAATCAGTCTCAGAAGAGGCATTTTCACAACAAGCAGGTAGGTATTTACTTCAGACTGGAAAAGATATGAAAAACTCTAAATGACAAATTTAGATATTGTCAGCAGTTAATCCATGTTTGAATTGAAGATTACTTTTCAACCATTCAGGCAGTTCCATTAACAGTTTCAAATGTTTGGGAAATCTGCTATATCTACTAAGTTATTTAAAGCAAAAGAATGAGTAAAACTTACTGAATGATTTTCACACTTTATTTGCTTTCCTTCCATCTGTGCTAAATCACTTGTTTGCCCCACGTTCAATTTTGAACAAGACAATAAGCACTGACTGAGATTGCTTTGTGCAACACGGTGGTTTTGTAACCTTACCAATTTCCAGTTCTGATTAGCTCCACAAAAACTCTTTTAACACCAGTACCGGTAGGTTAATCTTGTACTGGACACAGTTAAATAATCTTGAAGCCTTTGGTGTATCCATCCAATCATCAATACAATGGGGTGCAGGTCTGCAGGGATATTATGAGAGTTAATGTTCTCCTCTCAACAGACGATGTGTCCAGTATTTCTGGTAGCGGAGACTCTTCCTCCTCTGATGATGAGGATGAGGTGGACATGTCACCTGTCTCCCGGGGCTCTGATCAAGCCTGGGGAAGGAGAAAGAAGGCCAGTTCTATCCACAAGTACGACAGCGACGACGATGACGATAATGATGCAGGGAAGGAGAGAGAAAATGGTAGACGATGTCCAAGGATCTATTTTGATAACGATGATGAAGAGGTTGTTTCTGTGTATCGCTGCATCATTCATGGAAAGAGGGTGAGAATAGATATACTTGTTTTATTTCTCATCTTTACCGACATACTAATTGCCCTTTGTTTTTATAATGTAGTAAGGCTATTAATGGAATAGGACCAAACATAGATCATATATATCAAGTTGTAATGCACTTTGTAACTGCAAGAAAGATTAACTATATGAAATACCCTAACAGATTTGATTTGTATGGAATATTACAAAAAAATATATAAATACTAGAAAATTGATATAGTTGTGAATATATAGGACAAAACTCCTTGCACTTTCCAACAAATCTTTTTCTGAAACTGTTTCTTCGGCATCTGTCTGTCTCGAAAGACAATAGAATATTGCGCTATATAGTTGTCAGTTTCTTGGTGTGCAGCTCCTGCTGTGACTGAACAGTCCAATCCTAGAGAGGCAGGTCCTGTTGCAGTTGCTGCAGATAAAAGTCATTTGTGGCTGTGCTGTTGGAGCCGTAGCTAGCTGTTGTCTTTGTTGTTGTTGTTGTTGTCTTTTCTCCTCCCACTGTTCTACTCTCCTCTGCTCACTCCTCTGTACACCCGTCTTTACAACGCGTCTCCATTCAGGACGGTCTGAGGCATATGCTTCCCAGTTTGTAGGGTTTATTTCACTGGCCTTCATATCCCTCTTGCACACATCCTTGAAGCGAATGGACAGGTCTTCCAACAGCCCTGGTCCTGGTCGCTAACTTTCCATACATTATGTCTTTTGGAATGCGGCCGTCTTCCATTCGGCTGACATGACCAAGCCATCTCAGTCGTCGTTGTGATAGAAGAGCATAGATGGTCATCATGCCTCCTTTCTTGAGGACATCCTTGTTTGGAATGTGGTCCTGCCATTTGATGCCTAGGATTCGCCTCAAGCAGCGGAGATGGAAAACGTTCAAACGGCGCTCCTGACGTGCATACAGGGTCCACGACTCACTGCCATACAGGAGAGTGCTGAGCACACAGGCCTGGTAGATCTTCATTTTGTGTTGGTAGTTAGTAAAGTGTTCTTCCAGGCACGCTTTGAAAGTCTAGCCATCATGGTTGCTGCCTTGCCAATACGTATGTTGAGCTCGGGATCGAGGGAGAGGCTGCTGGATATCACGGAGCCGAGGTAGGTGAAGTTTTCAACCACTTGGAGGGTGTAGTTTCCAATGGAGATATCGGGAACGCTGCGTACATCCTGGCCCATGATGTTTGTTTTCTTTAGGCTGATGGTCAGGCCAAAGTCTTCACATGCTTCTGAAAAACAGTTAATCATGCCTCTGTAGAGCTTCCTCAGACTGGGATGCCAAAGCCGCATCATCTGCAAATAGCATCTCTTTAATCAGGATGCTCCTCACTTTCGTCTTCGCCCGAAGTCGTGCAAGATTAAACAGTTTTCCATCGCTTCGTGTGTGTATGTACAGTGTACACGCCGTCTTGAGATGACCTGAAAGCGTGTGATAGCAGCACAGAGAAGAAGATCCCAAAGAGCGTGGGAGCAAGCACACATCCCTGCTTCACTTCGTTCTTGATTGGGAAGGGGGCTGATGTAGAGCCGTCATACTGGATGGTGCCCTGCATATCGTCATGGAAGGATACAATCAACCTTAGCAGTGTAGGTGGACATCCTATTTTCTGTAGCAGATTGAAGAGGATCTTTCTGCTGACTAAGTCAAAGGCCTTTGTAAGATCGATGAAGGCAATGTACAGTGGCTGTCTCTGCTCCCGACTTTTCTCCTGCAGTTGTCGAATGGAGAATATCATATCGATTGTTGATCTTCCAGCCCGAAAACCACACTGCGATTCTGGGTACACACGGGCTGCAAGCGTTTGCAGTCTGCTCAGGATCACACGGGCAAACGTCTTCCCAACAGTGCTTAGGAGGGATATTCCACGATAGTTATTGCACTCACTGCGATCCCCTTTGTTCTTGTACAAGGTAATGATGTTAGCATCACGCATATCATGTGGAATCGTTCCCTCTTTCCAGCATTGGCAGAGAAGCTCATAGAGATGGCGTAGAAGACCTGTGTCCTTTCCGACTTTGATTATGTCCGAGGGTATGCCATCTTTTCCTGGGACCTTACCCGAGGAAAGGGAGTTCACAGCCTTTTTCAGCTCTTCTATGGAGGGTTCACTATCAAGATCTTCCATGACAGGTAGGCCTTCAATACTCTCAATGGTAGCTTCATTGACCTCAATCTCCCGTGAGTACAGCTCTTGATAGTGCTCAATCCATCTTTCCATTTGAAGCTCTTTGTCTGTGATAACCTCCCCTGTGGATGCTTTGAGTTGTGATGTCTTCTTGATGGTTGGTCCAAAGACCTTTTTTATGCCTGCGTACATACCCTGGGTGTTGCCGTTATCTGCAGCCAGTTGGATGCTCTGGCAAAGGCTCAACCAGTAATCGTTGGCACAGCGTCTAGCAACCCGTTTGGCATCCATCCTTGCTGTTCGTAGAGCTGTGAGTGTCTTCACAGATGGATCACTCTTGTAGTTAGCGAGTGCTGCTCGCTTTGCTTCGATGACAGGCTCCAATTCTGCGATTCCAGCTACAAACCAGTCTGGGTTTTGCTTTTCTCTTTTGCCATATATTTCCATGGCTGAGTGATGGATAGCATCGCGAATGTGATTCCATCTCTCTTCAGCACTAGTAGAAGGACAGTCCTGGAGGGCCTGTTTGATGGAATCGGCGAAGAGATCATGCAAGTCAGGATTCGATATCTTGGCAGTGTTTATGCGGAGGCGACCTTTCTGCTTTGAGCGATGTAATCGCCTGGGCTGAAGGCGCACCCTGCTGGCAATCAGTGAATGGTCTGTGTCACAATCAGCGCTGTGGTAACTACGGGTGACTTGGACACTGTTTAAGGACGAAGTTCGTGTAATAACAAGGTCAAGCTGGTGCCAGTGATGAGACCTGGGATGTCTCCAGGATACCTTGTGGCATGGTTTTGTGGAGAAGAATGTGTTCGTAATGCATAGGTCGTGATAGGAGCAGACTTCTAGCAATCTTTGACCATTTTCGTTCAGTTTTCCAATGCCGAAGTGTCCGATGCATTTGGGCCAGGAGTCATGATCCGTGCCCACCCGTGCATTGAAATCTCCTAGTAGGAATAGGTTCTCGTTGGCAGGAATGTTCGCAATGACAGAGTCCAGGTGCTCATAGAATTGATCCTTGGTCTCCACAGAGCTGCAGAGGGTTGGTGCGTAACAGCTCAGGATGTTCACTGGACCTGAGGCGGTTTGCAGTCGAAGTGAGAGGATGCGTTCTGTGCCTCTGCTTGGTGGTTCAATTGAGGAGAGTAAAGAGTTCCTTACTGCAAATCCAACACCATGCTGTCGCCTTTCCTGCGGTTCTCTGCCATCTGAAGAGAGTCTTGTCTCTTGCAAAGCAGCAATGTCAATGTTGAGCCTCTTTAGCTCATGGTCGATGATCGGTGTTTTGCGGGTGTCATCAACCTCAAGTAGATTGTCTGTGATGCCAGGACACATGGTCCTAACGTTCCAGCTTGCCAAACGCAAGACTGGTGTTTTCTTTGTATTTTGTTTATTGCTTGGTGCAGTAGTTTCAGTCCGCTTGTCGAGACAATCCTCTAAGCTCCAAGCACCCGATGAAGCAGGCGGCCTGTGGCGGGTCAGCACCTAATTAACTGGGGGCTGCCCAGCTTGAGGTGGGCAGTAGCTGACCAGTGGAACGCGAAGATCCCTCCCACCGTCAAAGGCAACCCGTAGCGCCCGTATCCTACGCCAATCGGAAAGGGCTTATAACTCGTAACTGCTGCCTCCCGTGTTGTTTCTGCCACTTTTGACAGTAGCACTAAAGTGTCCTCTCCAGAGCGCAAGCCTGAGCTGGTTATATGGAGATCCTGGGTAGCCCAATCGTCAGAATCCCCCTCTCGGCCTTACTGATGTGGTCCAAAGGAGAGCTGAGCAATACATTTGGCACCAATTTGGCTGCAGGAGTTGCCGGAAGAGTGTGTCGAGTTGAACACCAGACCGCCTACGGGGCTCCACTCCGGTTTTCAGTCAGGTTTACTCCCTAGCTATTTCTCCATAGCTGGATGTCCGTTACCCTGGACAGGGGCCCATACCGGGTACTGTCAGCCGGAGCCAGCTGAGCCCGGGACTCGTGTCAGGCAGGGTCGTCACGCCCTGAAGTAGTGAACAAAGTCACTACCCACTACCCACTCTGAAACTGTTTACACCATTGACTACTGAATTCTTTCTTTCTGATGGGCTTTATCCAGGGACCACCCAGTTCCAGTAGGCAATGGGTTCATAATTAAATCTGTTTCTAAATGAAATTCACTAGACACCTTTGGGAGGAAAGCTGATGAAATATGAAGAATACATTCTATTTATCTTCTCATTTCAATAGGAGGCACCCACTACACATACAGAGCTGATATCCAGAACCCTTGGTCTATTGACCAATCAGAAGTGGGCTATCATATTGACAGGGGGTGGCCATTTTGCTGCTGCAGTGTATGATGGGTAAGTGTAGATAAGCTGCAGAGATATATTACTTCCGGAAATTAGAGAAAGCATATCAATAACAAAAAAAGTTGGGAAAACAGAGAGAGGAAGAAAGAAGAGGAGAACTAAAATAGAATAATAAGGGCCAATTATAGAGAAGATTAAGATGCACAATTAAGAAATAGGATAATTTGAAATGCAGATTTACATTGAATACAGAGATAACAAACACACAAAAAAGAATGTGTATTGAAAGGAATTGAAGATAGGGTACATGACGCCATGGTGCATTTGTTCCACACGTATGGGACCTCTTTAAAAGGTGTTACCAATAACAAATTACAGTAAGTAAAATTAAATATTCACTATTGAAACCTTGCATGCGATAGGCTGAAAATAGATTTGTTTTACAATTTTGGTACTTGATAAGATGCTTAATGAATCTAGATTCTTGTCACTTGTTTCTGTTGGAATATCACCATTTGACTAAATTTTAATAATATTTGACCTTTTTTGTAGGCCTGAGGTCATCGAACACAAGACCTTTCACCGGTACACCGTACGGGCTAAGAGAGGAACCGTACAGTCTGTTAGAGACTCACAGGGAAACGCCCCCAAGTGAGTACAAGGCTAGATCTAGAATGTGACTGTGCATCAAAATACAGTGGTGTCTTTGCAGTCTGTATACATTTCAGTATAAAATGAGAGAGGGGAGAAATAGAGAAAGGGAGATAGAGGGGTGTGGGAGAAGAGAGAGAGAGAGGAGAGGAGGAGAAAAGAGAGAGAGGGGGAAGAGAGAGAGAGAGAGAGAGAGAGAGAGAGAGAGAGAGGTAGAAGGAGAGGGAGAGAGACAGGGATGAAAATATTAAGATGAAGAAGAGAAAGTAACAATCATTTTTAGAGAAAATAAGGAACGTAGGAGCCAGAGAAAAAGGAGGGGGAGGGGGGGGGGGGGGGGGAGAAAGCTTAGCCAAAAGAAAGAAGGAATTTTGAAAGGATGACATGAGGAAGGGAAAAATAGTTGGGGAACAGGTCATCCTCATTTCATAATATCAATGCATTAATCTAAAATGTATACTTTTTGTTTAAATTGGTATGTTTACAAGAATAGCTTTGATATTTGAAGTCACAATGGTACCAAACGTGTTTTCATTATGATTTTTTTATATAGTGATATACAAATGCATAGAATATACTAAGTACATGTACCTGTTGCAGTTGATACCTAATGAACTCTTCTCCTTGCAGATCTGGGGGTGCCTCCATCCGAAGGTACAATGAAGCAGCCCTGAACCAAGAGGTTCAGAACCTCCTCACCTCCTGGAAGGACCACTTGGACTCCTGTTCCAGAATCTTCCTCAGAGTACCCACCTACAACAAGGCCATGTTCTATGGAGGAAAGAGCCCCGCCCTGGTGAAGGGGGATGATAGGGTGGTGACTATCCCCTTTGCCACACGGAGGGCCACGTTCAAGGAGCTGAAGAGAGTTTGGGAGGTCCTTGCTACCATTGAGTCTCATGGTAGGTTTGGACTTTAAGCTGTGGAGAGTACAATCTGGGTTGTGAATTGGCATATGAAAATTGATGTGCTTAAAAGCAGACCTGCCAACTAGTACGATTTTTTAGAAGTAAATACGACAGTATGATTTTCCTCAATAAAAATATGATTTGTGTGTGTGTGTGTGTGTGTGTTTGCTATTTTCAATGAGAAAATGCCCATTCTGTCCTGTAAAGTATCGTACGAGCATCTCACACTGGTAATTTGGGGATGTTCTTTGGTCCATCGAACACACCAGTCAAGACAAAATCATGCATATTATTCAACCAATGATCCATACAAAAATTTCTTCCTCTATGTAGGAATTGTAAGAGGCATTGGTCTGTCTTTCTTTTTTTTTTTAATACAACTTTTGTCAGTAAAACACAACTTTGGGGACTGAAGAATAAAGTTTCTGAACTCCAGAGATTGACAGGTCTGTAAAAGAACTCTTTTAAAAAAAAAATAAAGCTAAATTATGCTCTGATAAAAATTCCAAGAAATGGAATAATAATAATAATAGCTTGTTCTTATATAGCGCTTTTCAGGACCGGAGGCCCTCTCAAAGCGCTTTACAGATAAGTAAGAGGTGTCAACAGTGTACATGTTATAGCTGTATTTGAAATTGTTTTCACCACACACATCTTGTACCAGAAATTTAAAGAAATCCCTAATGAATCTGTATGATCATGTATATTGTTCATTCTGCAATGCAATAAGCTTTGGTAATGCTTTGACTGCACTAAGTGAGGGAGGAAGGGAGGGAGGAAAAAAGCTAAAAAATGGTTTTGTTATATATTTGATTTGATTTATTTACCAACAGCAATTCATTCCATACATTTTATACAATAAATACATATACAGAAAGAGAAACTATTGGTTGGTAAAAGGGGCCAGATAATAGCACATGTGCTAGTCGAGCCTAACCCCTTAAACAGCTAAACAAAGTATTTTGTTACAAATCAGTTTAGAAAACGTAACAAAACAAAAAATAATGAATTTACTGTTACAATCGATACTTAGACAAAACAAGAATCAGTACTCAACAATGTCTTACAATATACAAACTAATAATGTAATATATGTTTTGTCCTCTGATTGATTTCATAAACAGGTACCATATCTGATATTACTACTGTTATGGCCAGCCGCAAAGAGAAGAAGGTTTGGAAGAAGGGCAAGAAATCCCTCCAAGAAAATGAAAAACAAGTGCTTGATGAAGAAGATGCATCGTTGGAAGTCATTTTGAGTCGGTTGGAGAAACAGTCTCTTGAAGGTTAGGATACACATTAAATCTTCTACTGTAAAACAAAACAAATGTCTGTAATTGATTTTGCAGCATGAAAGTTTCATGGATGTCATCTGCTCCTGACTTTGCAAAAACTTTATGCTGCAATATCACTTAAATGGCAATTGACACAACTCAGAAAATTTATTTATTGCCACAAAAAGTGGCTGTTTTGGTTTCTGGTTTTACAGTGCATGTGAAAGGCAGTTTGTAAATTGTGCTGTATTGACAACAGTTTGGAAGTCAGTTTGTAACACTAGTTAAATTTGTCCCTTCCACCCTAGATGCATACTTTGACTATTGAAACCAAAACCTTTCCAAAACCCTGTCCATATAATTAAATATAATGTAGCTCCCACTTAACTCTAACAGGCATATGTTGTCATTTTACTGTTCATTTTAATATTGAAGTGAAAGAGAATTCCCACTAGAAGATAAAACTGTAATTGCATTATTTAGAAGAGAAACAACCGAACAAGCCATTTTACCCCAAATATTCTGATCATTTATTATATTATTATTTCTGCATTGTTTTACATATGAATGAATCCAAAGAAGAACCAGCAGACAATTCAACCAGTGTCAAAATGGAAGAGAAGAAGAATGAAAAGGATGATGAGGAGGTAGATGATATAGAACTTCATGAAGAGGAGGTCATCACTTCAACTGACCATCTCAAAGAGTATGAGACAACTCCTAAGAAGCAGAGGAGGAGAAAGAAGAAGAAACCAGAGAGACAAATACCACAAACAGGTAAACCAGTAGTACAAGAAAAATTAATACCATATCTCTTTAAAGGAACATAGTGAAATTGTTTATATATACTTCCTAGTATGTTAAAGGGAGTGTATGATGGCAAATACTGGTTGACGCCATCTATGTCTTCTTTTGGACAACGGCACGTAAACGAATGGACTTGATTAACTGGGTCAGCGCGCGTTAGCATTCGCGAAATAGACCAAAGTTCCTCTCCCGCTTCGGTTTTGCGTATGTTGCAGGCACGTGAATGCTGCGGTCGCGTCGTCCGTAGTCGTATTATACCCGATTGGCCCCCGGTAGGGCCACCGGAAAGACACATAGTCTCGTCATGACACACTCCCTTTAATATCTTAACTCTTACAATGTCATAGCCTTTGTTAACTGCTACATTGCATCAAATTTTTTTGGACTAACAAAAAGATTGTATTTTGCTTCTTTAAATTAAAAATTGTTTTTATAAATGTCTAAAGTTTGGTACTACTGGAACACTAGTTGTATCAAGACAAGCAATGACGAATGAACCATGATATTTAAGAATGTGCCTTATAATATCTCTTTTCTGATATATGTACCCCGGTATGTCAGAATCATTAAATTTTCTTGAATTGTACTTAAAAGTTAATGTTTTTCATAACGTCACTGAAGACAACTTTATGAAAAAAAAATTAAAAAATAAGTGAAACTTTTATACAATATTATGCGAACCAGTGTATTGATTGACAGTATTTTTTAAAATCATTGTGTGATTTTTTTTGCTGTAAAAGTGTGAAATAACGTTCACTGTGTAGCTCTACTGCTCTAAGCATTTCAGCATGTTGGTATGCATACATGTAAACTAAGATAGGGTTTTAACTCTTCTTTTCAGACAAGGAGGAAGAGAATCTGACCACCGAACTCTTCACTATATGCCGGACAGGCAACATGGACAAGCTTGAAGAAGTCCTCCAAAAGATCCAACAGCATTTCGGTATTCCTCCTCACAATCCTCCTCACAATCCTCCAACTTCTAAAGACAGTACCAAGGAACACTTCGACAGAGACCCAAGCAACACCAAGAACACATCATCGGACGATACCAATCCCATTCCCAGTGTTGAAAATAAAGATAATATACTGTCCTGTAAAGGTGATGTTCAAGGTATGACTGCAGGCTTGGATAGCCATGTCAAGTCTTGCCAAAGCTCAGATGATAGCCATAAAGACGGCTCAGGGAACAAAAACTCAGTAGAAAGTAGATTCAACCTTCCAGAACCTTTGAACAGTACTGCTGTTTTCAATGAGGACACCCAGAACAATCCTAACAGAGCAGACACGATTGAAGGGAAATCGTCAAAATCTGATCTCCTGGTTGAATCCAAATTTGATGAAGCCAACGTGCCTTCCCAACACAAACAAGTGCCTGATGATGATTCTGAAGTAAGTGAGGATAAAGCAGTGAGAGACTCTAAGGATCACGATAAACCAAGTCCTGGAGTCCTCAAGTTCCTGAACAAGCCCTTAGATGACATGGGGTACTCCTTCCTCCATGTAGCTGCTGAAGATGGACAGGGAAGTGTTCTCTATCGACTCATGGAATGTGGAGCTGACCCAGGTGTCAAGTAAGCAAGATGGTTTCCTTACTATAACCTTTGACCTTTGTAGTGTGAATAATAGAATATTGTGATGCTCACATTGGCCTCATTGGTCACAACTCACAACGGAGCTGCTGTGATATCAATCTATCTAGAGTACTCTTCCCTCAGTTGACACTGACAAACAAATTCCTACAAACCCTGGAGTGTGAATATTGTGATTTTGAATTGGAATTAAAGTCAAACTATTTTACAATTCTTTAATAGAGTAATCTTGCTTCTGGTGATGTTTTTATCATGGTTTTAAATGGCATAGCAGACAATATTACTCATGCATGAAGTCTTTTGTTTATGGCTGATTGTCAACGAAATGGAGTTAAGTCTTTTGTCAACTCTGTTTGTTGCTACGGCAGGCACCCAGTGAAAACGAATTTGTTTTATAAATTTATGGAAATGCAAGCAGTAATTTAAACAAACAGAACTTTGTCATTCCTCGCCTATTTTTCCTGATTAGGGTGTCATATAAAGGGCAGAACCTCAATTTTCTATAAATGTGATTTTTTTCTTTGAAATTCAGATACCATCTGCCAAATGACTTTTTGGTTTCCTCTCTTCAAATTCATTTTAATCACTAATGCGTGAAATATGCATCATATGATTTGCATCAAATGAAAGAGGAAGATCTAAGCTTTTCAAATATGTGTCATTTAGTAATTATAAATGTGACTAAGTTATGATCAAACATCAATACTTCTCGGTTTCATTTTTTCCTGGGATGCACTGTATGTACATTTCTCAAACTGTCATAATCATTTTTTTAAAATAATTTGATCTTTAGGAGCAAGAAAGGAAAGCCAGCATTCGGATGTTCCTTTGACAGGAAGACGAGAGAAGAATTTAGGAGTTTCCGTTCTGATCACCCCAATAGATATGATTATGAAAGAGCTCAGGTAAGCTATTAGAAGAAGAGTTTCAGGTACATATAGATAATAGATGAAATCTAGAAGGTCCGCGGCGCGTCTCTTGGAGACAGAGAATGTCATGTCTGTGTTGAATGCATAAATCCGACAATAGATCCTGTTTGGCGCCAGCAAGACCTTCAATGTTTGATGATTATTATATTATACACAAGACCAGTCCTGAAAAGGACCCATGCTTGGGAATCATCAACAGTTCTAAGATCTTGTAGAGTCATGATAGCGATGTAGGTTTAGTGAGATTGATGACACCATTTGCCTATGTGGAGAGAAGCAGACTATGCATCATATTCTAGCCTGTCCACACCTACCAGACCCTTGCACCCAAGAAGATCTGCAAGCATTGACCCATGCGTGAGGCAATGCATTCAACATTGGAACAATCCAACTAAGAGTGAACGTTGTGGCGTAGTGACTCAAGAAGAAGATAGATGAACTTATGCAATTTAGTGTAAAATGGGTTGAACTGAGCAGCCTTTAGTCGTACATGAGATGTAGAAAGAGGCGTGCTTTCCAGAAAATCCTAAATCATATAATTACAGTGTAATGTTAAAGACTTATTTTTGGCAGTTCCTTGTCATATTAGTAGTTTGCATACTCTGGATTTGGTGGGATTACAAATCATTGTGTCATTAAATACCATTTCATTGCAAGGCTACCCCTTTACATGTACCTTTGAGATTTATTTCATGCTACTTGATTTTCGTAGCATGCCTTTGACTGTATCTCGTCATTGCTATTTTTTCAGATTCCAGTTCCGCTCACAGAAGAGCAAGAGAAAGAAAAGGCAGCCAAACAATCAGAAAGGAAGAGGAATGCAAGGAAAGCAAAGCGTTTGAAGGAAAAGGTAACACTTCTATCCGTAGCCTTAGAGATTTCTCAGAGTTTTTTTCACTTTTCCTTGATGTGTTTTCTCAACTGCTGCACTTTTTTACACAGTGCAGAACAGAGGTGTTTCTTCAATCAATATTGAATTTATTCTATTTGATTTTACAGTGTTAATCAATTTAAGGTTTAATTTTTTATATGAATTTTTATAAGAATAGAAATGGGTTATTATGCAAAGCCATTGTGTTACACAGAGCCCATCCTTCAATTGTTGGGTGTTGTTTTTGTGCAAAAAAGGATGTGTGGTAAAGAAGCAACCGTGCACAGAGGTAAAGAAAGCAATCAAAGTGTTAATGTGTTTTCTTACTGACTGACAGGAGCAAAAGGAAGTTAAAGAAGCTGAGAGGAAAGAGAACGAGAAGAAGGAATGGTATGCAAACCTGAGTGAAAGAGAGAAGAGAGCTCTGGCCGCTGAGAAGAGATTCGCTCAACAAGTAACTCCAACATCTGACATGCAGTGAGTATAGAAGCAGCTGAATCTAAGATCTAAATGTAGAAAGCTTTAACCACTGGGCCCCATTGCATAAAACTTACCATTGATGGTAACTTTGCCATTGATGGAAACTACTATGGTAACAGGGCTCAACAGCCAATCAAAATCAAGGTTTATATGGTTTCCATTGATGGCAAAGTTACCATCAATGGTAAGTTTTGTGCAACTGGACCCTGATCCTGTGTCATAAAACTGAATGTGTACTCTGTACAGTCAAAATTCATTTTAAGAATTAAACTTTAGAAATCAAGGAGTGTACATAATTACACTAAAACTTGCTACATCAGAGCTCATGAGTGGTAGAATGTGAAGAATTGGGCCTGGAAAGCTTGCTTCATTACCATTAGAGGATTTTACAAATGTTTATTTACTTTATTATAATAATGTTTCACTTTAGTATACTGTACACAAAGAATACTGCATTTTCGCTAGAATAGTGAGTGGATAGATGTTCCATAGGGTAGCTTAGCTAATAATGTAGTGGCATGAAAAAGATGCGTCTGAAACTCTAAGGCGTAATAGGTGGTGATGTTTATTAATTAAAATTTCCTTTTTGACACATCTAAACAAAATTTTAATTAACATTAAGCCTAATCGAGATAGGACATGTATTTTAATACCATTTCAATATCCTAATGATCTGGTTCTACGCAAATTTTAAAAAAATCATGATTTTCAACAATAATGCATTGTATGTACTGGAAACGTCTTTTCGTTCTACTCCATTTCGCTAAGCTACCTAATAAAAAGAGTGATAATTGGAAAGATAATCCATTTGTGATTAAATTGTGACACAGGAGGTGCTGGACTTGTGGCTCTTCACTTGCTGGGAAGGCTCCCTTTTCTTACATGGATTTCAAGTTCTGCTCGATGCCTTGCCTGAAGAAACACAAGCAACAGCCAAAGTAACAAAACCACCAATTCAAGAAATGATGCTGATAGTAATATGTCTTTGACTCCAACTGTTCATCACATGGAATATTGTTTGCAACGGGTTGCTGTTTTAGGTGACATGGCTACAACATGTTGAATAAATTTGTCAGGGACTGAATATTCAGAATGTATCATTAATGTACATTAATATGTGCATTAATTTATTCATCCTATTTCAATCATGAGTTTAAATTATTAGAAACTGTATTCTAGTCTTATTTAGGAAATAGTTAAACCATTTGTGTGCTTTCACTTAATTTTAGAAATTAATGTAGCCAGTAAAAAAGCCATTTCAGGATATTTTGTACTTTTCCTCCTTTTTTGCTCAAAGACTAATATGGTACATTTCATTTTATGCACCTCATTGAATGGTGCCTTCCATGGTGATCGTAGAAACATGAATCTCTTTATTTTTTTAGAGTACTTTATCACTCTGGCAGTAATTGTAAGTATGGATACAGTATCACCTTGTCCACATTTGTATTCAAGTGCCCTCAGCTAAGATAAATTATTTGATATTTATATATAATTCATAATAATTTGCTCTCCACCTGTTTACAAATATTTCATCAAATATGTCATTGAGTTTAAAATGATGTAAACATGACATTCAGTTGTCTTGAATCGGTAAACTGGTATTTGTCCATACAACATAAAAATAGATATTATTCATTTTTATATAGAATGTAGTTTAGTTTTGAAGCCACATAGATATCATTTAGTTCATAAACTGGAGGCAAATAATTGATTTGGCTACAGATTAGAAGTGGTTTTAATATTTTGCTAAATCTAATTATATGAACTGATAAAAGTGCTTGAAAGAAATAGTGTTTTATGATATTGTATTGTTACATGTATGTAAGAATATTTTGTGGTATGTTGAATCTAAAAATCTTCTGAAATAAGAAAATTATTGATTATTTAATTGCTTACCCCTGATTTCATTAAAAATTAGTGTATTACATAATAATAATAATAGTTGATTCTTGTATAGCGCTCATGTCTGTCAGACTTGACACTCCTGGCGCTCCCGATTATTATCTGGCTTTAGCATGGCTGCCATTACAGCACTCTTGCATTTCAAGGAATTAATTCCTGCCAGGAATACAATATATAACTGTCATGACAGCAAGGAATGAATAATGTGAATTTAAAATATCAGTTAGCTTCTGCATTAGTTAGGCATTCTATAGTTCCATCTGCTTCTAAAATATAGACCTATTTGTATGTGACACTGTAAAGTTCAGAATGAGTCTGTATTGAGAAGTGAAGCAGTAAACAACAATGAAGAATTGTAAAGATGCAATGCCTTTACATTTGTATTTGATGCAATAAAATGATTTTAAAAATATGATATTGATAACCTTTGTCTTTTTTTAATCATATCATGTACATGGGGGAAGTGAGGATGAAGTTTCCAGGTTACAACCAATTAATATAAAAGCATGTTTGGAAAACAAGCATGTTACAAACTAGACAGAAAAACCCATCTGGTTGGAGCAGTTTTTTAAACATTTTCTTACTCTTCACCATCATATTGGGTGAAGCCAGATATTTAGTCTCGGCAGCACATAGGCCATATCCTCCAGCAAAACATAAGTATTAGTTACAAATGTACCAACAATATTTGTATTTCTAGTATTTGTATTATTTTGTATGTTTCTTTTTTTAAAGAAAGGGGCACATAATTGTGATAAGAGCCACCTTAACCTAGTTTTACCATAGCTCTAATATTTAGTCATGCCCTAAAGCTGTATTATTATATGTATTATTTGTATCATTTTGTCTACTTTTTTCTGTCTCTTTATTTAAAAAAGAGCACATAATCATCTTAGTGATTTTAGCATTTTTAAATGTTGATGCACGCGTGGACACTAATTATACCTGGATATATGGACCCTTGACCTGAAGTTTAATTTATTTAAATTTGTATACACTGAGAGAGAGAGGTTATCTTTTCCTGGCCAAGGGATGATGGTGAAATGTTGATGTTGATTGAATGATACAGGGTTTTAAAACAAATCTGACCACAAAAAACTTACAGAAAGAAAGAATAATAAATAGATGAATACAAAAGAAATAAAGAATAAAGAAATCGAGAGGTGATCTGCAGATCTGCTGCAGGTCACTTAACAGTTTAGCCTTTGAACAAACCAAACATATTTGTAAGATAATGTGCAACAACATAATTTATACAGCAGCAGCTAACTACGTAAAATTCATTACCGATAACCAATATCGATAGTGTGTGCTGAAAAAAAAATCAGTGGCATTTTTTTTAATTTCGATTTCTATCCTGTAATAAGACTAAGACTAGACCTAAGTAAAATAATACTTTTCAGACTCCTAGGCAGAAATCGAGGAGTCGCGGAAGAAAACATTGGATAGTTGTCAACTGAGTCGGTTTAATAGTGACGAGTTGCATTTTCTTGATTTCTCGATCCAGACCAGGCAGAGGCCGGGAGAACCTGCACAAGGCTGCAGCGCATACCCGGTACCGTAGGCCTAACGTAGGACTAGACAGATCAAAGGCAAATTCCCGACGGGTCCGGGCCGGTCGGGGCTCTCAGGCAGATCATAATCTCACGCGGTCTAGGCCTACTACTAGGCTATACCATCATCCACCTTGACTTGGACTTCTCAAGCATCAACTATTTCTATTCTAGAAAAGGTAAGTTAGGTTTCCTATCAAAATTTTACTTTGTAGATCTCTAAGTTAAAACTATTTAATTTTTTTTAGCACTGTCTACCGATTGAATTTAGGAGGACCTGAGCTGCTAATATATTTATAAATATAATTAATTGATGATAATGATATTGATAATGATGATAAATCAGGGCTGTCAACCCTCCCGCATTTGGAGGGAGTCTCACGCCACCATGCCCTTCGACCCGCTCTCCCGCTTCGATCTAGAATCTCTCGGTTTATAAAAACACCTTCGGCCAAACATCATAGTCTATGGTAGATCTAGATCTAACCACGATTTTACCTTTTTTTGTTGCCCAAGCCAAGGCCTTTGGGGGTGGGGGTGTGGTGAGCACTTAAAAATATAATCGTTTTAGATCTAATTGTTTTTATTTGACTCTATCTCCCCCCCCCCCCCCCCCCCCCCCCCCCTGTTGAGCAAAAAAATATGTTTGCATAACGATCCCCCTCGAAGCAATTCTCCAAAGTTCACAGCTCTGGATAAATTGATTAGTAAGTGAAAGTCAGTGATTGATACATCCCATGTAAGTACTGAGCTGAGTGAGTGGGTACGGGTTGATCATCATCATTTTCTTGCCTTTCTTTCAACCTTTCAACTTTGCTATTACTGCTACTACTACTAGTGCTACAGATTAGTAACACATCAATTGCTCTAGATTGTCCAAGACTAGAGATATTTTTTCATCTGCGACATACATAGATGATAGAGCGTCAAGGCATGCATATGGTTCTATTGCGATTGCAGTGCTAGTTGACTATTTGTACTTAGATCTTAGTCTTAGATCTAACAGATTCTGTTAGATTTTCTTCCAAGACAGTGTGCAACTTCAATAAAGCCAAAGGAAGTCAAGTGTAGTTGTTAAATTCACACTGAGTTTAGGTTCTACTCTTAACGTTCATTTGAGTTACTAATACAAAACAAATGTAACATTAGATCCTCTAGGCTCTACCAATTTAGACTCGACTATATTGCTATAAGGAAAACAATTTGTATATTTCTAATTTGTTCTCTATCCAACACTGTATACAGGATCTTCAAGCTCAGTTACAGTTCATGTCAGCAGATATGGAAGAAAATTTAGAAAAGGTTTTGGAACGGCTGTCAGAATTCATCCATAATACCACCCATTATATTCAGCCAACTTACGATGCAGCCATACTGGAAGTGAACCAATATCTTTCCTCATTTGACTGGGAGAAACTAAAAGAAGAATGGATGGATCTTGGCAAGCAAGGCATTCAACTTACACTTGCCGCAGCTGATGGTAGGTTTTTATACATTCTAAGTTTAAAAGTATAAGCTGAGGAGAACAGACCCATTTACATGTTATTCCTTTCTTCATAACTATGTACTATATGAAAATTAATTTACATATAAATACAAATCAATAACGTCATAGGACTGAGGTTGATAAGCCATGTAATGTATCCCCTGTATATTTAACCCATAGACCAGCAAATTCCCTCATCATGGGCTTGATAAAGGAACCACGTGTTCATTAGGCAATGGGCTAACTTTACTTTGTATGAAGGCTTTCATTGCATGTAGATTATAATTTATACTCTATCTAGAGGTTATTAATTTGGAATTAAAGTGCATTTGTGTGATCCTAGTGAAGGCAAAGTGACATCTACAGTAGATGATGAAGTGGTGCAAATTCTTGTTAAGCTACATGTAATAATACCATCATCTTGGTGTTGGCGGTAGCGATTCTGTTCTTATTCCTGATCACATTCCCAAGCATCTACAATGATTGTATTTGATGTCAGTTTTATAGATGTAAATAGATGGCAGAAATATCATTTTTAGCTAACATTTACAGTATTTCAATATCTGGCCGGTTTGTTGAAGATCTAACAAACTGCTACCGTAGTGCCGTAGACGAGTACAGCCAGCGACGTGCATGGGTGGGAGGACTGCAGATATGTTCACTACATTCAACAGTTGCTTCCCCTACTGACAACACGCCTTGCCAGCGCGTCAGTATACGGCAAAAAACCCTCATGACAATTATGGAAAGACAACTTAAAGGAGGCCGTAAAGCCCATGGCCGTAACGGGCGCAACACTCAGAGTTGCAAATTGACCAGTAAACGCATCGAAGAGGATTCTTTTGATGAAGTTTTGCAGTCAAAGCCAAATGGAAGCTGTCAGATGGAGGGATGCAATAAAACTGGCCAAAAATCTGAACTAAATATTTGTACATACAATGTTAAAACCTTGAGAACCGAGGAAAGTTTAGAAAGTTTGTTGGATGAACTAGAGGGATTCAAATGGGACGTCATCGGGCTCGCTGAAACGAAGAGACGAGGAGAAGGATTGACAGAACTGAAAGGAGGCACATGGCTCTACAACAGGGGAAAAACAGAGGATGACAAAAATACAAAAGGAATTGGATTTTTAATCCACAACAAATTTAAGGACTATGTGAAAGAAGTTAAAAGCTATTCAAACAGGGTAGCAGCCATGAAAATACAATTGACGGGAAAGGATGAAATGTGCATCATACAAGTTTATGCACCCACAAGTGATTATGATGATATAACAGTGGAGGAATTCTATGAAGATATCAATAAGGCCATTACAGACAATTCGGGTACCTACACAGTACTTATGGGTGACTTCAACGCGAAAATCGGACAACGTGAAAAAGGGGAAGAAAATATCATGGGATCATTCAGCTACGGAGAAAGAAACAGGAGAGGTGAAAGGATGATAGAATTTGCAATGGAACATAAACTTAAAGTGACCAATACATACTTTAAGAAACACAAGAGTCGTTACTGGACCTGGGAGAGTCCAAATGGAGTTACTAAAAACCAGATAGATTTCATACTTAGTAACCAGCGAGGGATAATCAAGAACTGCGAAGTCATCACCAATGTAGATATTGCAAGTGATCATAGAATGGTAAGAGTCAATATAAGCATCAACAAGAAACTAGCTAGGCTTAGATTCATTCAAAATGAGAGGAAAACACGGATTAACATAGTGAAGCTGAAGGGAAAGAAAGAAGAATTCCAACTAAAGCTTCACAACCGCTTTGATGGATTAGAGTTAGAGGATATGGACATTGATGAGCGATGCGATATGATGACATCAGCAATGCTAGAAGAAGCCAAATCTGTAGCCCCAACTGAGAAAAGAAAGATAGTAAGATCGGAAGAAGACAAAGAAATAGAGGAACTAGATCAAAGAAGAAAGGAAATACGACTGAAAGAATCCAAGACAACAACAGAAAAAGTGGAGTATGCAGAAATAGTCAAATTGGTGAAAAAGAAACGACGTCAAAGAAACAGACGAAAAACTTCTAAACTCATTTTGGAAACTCTAGAAAGCGGAAGGGGACCAAAAACAATACAAAAGATGGCAAGCAAAAAGTCCAGAATGAGCAAACTGAAGAAAAAAGATGGAAATATAACTTCTGACAGATCGGAACTGCTAGAAATATGCGCCGATTTCTACCAGGAACTTTATGGTTCAACGAAAAAACAACCGAAGGATCATATAGATATCTCATCCAGAAAATCAGACATACCGCCAATACTACAGAGAGAAGTTGAGGAAGCTGTAAACAGTATGAAGGACAACAAGGCACCGGGAAATGACGAAATAACAAGTGATATCATCAAACAAGGAGGGGAGGAGACAATCACACAGTTACTGAAACTATTCAACCAGATATTGGAAAAGCAACAGATTCCAACCACTTGGAAAGAGGCAAAAATAATTCTTTTATACAAGAAAGGTGACAAAGCTGATGTCAAAAACTATCGCCCTATCAGCCTTCTATCTCATCTGTACAAGATCTTCACCAAAGTAATCCAAAATAGAATCAAAGATAGATTGGACTCAAATCAACCCAGAGAACAAGCAGGGTTTAGAGCTGGATTCTCAACAACAGACCACCTACAAGCTATAAATCAACTAATTGAGAAGGCAAATGAGTACCAACTTCAACTTTGCCTCGGATTCGTAGACTACCAGAAGGCGTTTGATTCCATCGAACACACAGACATGTTTGATGCCCTACGAAAGATTAACATTGAAGAAGGGTATGTGCGCATCCTGGAAGATATTTACACCAACGCAGTAGCCAGAATTCACATTGATAATGATGTATCAAAGGAGGTCAAGATCCAGAGGGGAGTCCGACAGGGAGACACATTATCTCCAAAGATATTCACAGCCACTATAGAGGAAGTATTTAAAAAGTCGCATTTAAATGGAGGAATAAACATTGATGGGGAAACGCTTACTGATCTAAGATTTGCTGATGATGTGGCCTTGATCTCAACATCAACCAAAGACTTGGAAGACCAGCTGACAGGTCTCAACAGGGAGAGCAAACGTATTGGCCTAACTATGCACAAAGAGAAAACTAAATATATGACTAATTATGACACAGATGAAAACATCGAGATAGAAGGTCGAACGTTAGAGAGAGTGAGCAGTTACAAGTATCTGGGACAAACTTTGAAAATGGAGGACACCACAAAAGAAGAAGTTATGATGAGAGTAAAAGCAGGATGGATGAACTTTGGAAGATACAAAGACATGTTGACCGATAAAAACATACCCATGTCACTAAGAAGAAGAATGTTCAACCAATGCATTCTAACAACTATGACATATGGATCAGAAACATGGTCATTGACAAAGGATCTAGAACAGAAGCTTGTGACTACTCAAAGAGCTATGGAGAGAAAGATGTCGCATTTATCTCTGCGAGACAAAATCAACCACAAAGTCATACGCCAGAAAACAAAGGTTAAAGACATCGTGGAGAAAGTAAGAGAATCAAAGTGGAGATGGGCTGGGCATGTAGCAAGACTGCAGGACAATAGATGGACAAATCGTTTAACAGAATGGCAACCAAGGGTGGGAAAGAGAAGAAGAGGAAGGCAGAAGAGAAGATGGAGAGATGACCTAACATCATACATGGGAACGGCCGCTTGGACCAGGACAGCTAGAAACAGAAGAGAATGGAAATTTCATGAGGAGGGCTTTGTCCAACGTCTGGATGAACTATAGCCTGATAGATAGATAGATAGAATATCTTTGATAGATAGTGTTTTTAATACGATTGTCTCAACTTTTTAAATAGTGCCCCTGCCCTGAACTTCCTGAAGTCAATCGTCTTATTTAGATGAACACTGTATGGGACAACATAAATGTTTGGTTGAAGTATTTCACTGATTTCCAATGTTTTTGTGCTGGTGTTCTTCTAGGCATACAGAAAGAACTTCCAAAACTACAGGATAAGGCCTCACAATGGATTCAAGAGACCATGAAGAAGGGAGAACAGCTGCCATGGAATAGCAGAACAGCATGGACAGTGTTCTTACTCACACTTACACTTCTTTGGATCATGTCTTCTCCAAGAAATAAGAACAGGCGCAAGGAGAAGAAGGAAGGAAACATAAAAGTAGAAGGTAAGCTAAGTACCCTTGTGATTTCTCCCAGTGATAATGATAGTATACAAATTGATGTTCTCTTTTTTATCAGAATAATCTACATATACATGTATAAAATATGACACACGTGTGTAGAATGTTAACTTTATACTTTACACTCAGCAAAAAATAACTGAAATCAAAGATGGAGTTCCATTTATCAGTGAATGCGACAATTTGTTCTTTTACATCAAAGTGATCTTTAGTAGATGATGACTTACTCACAGCCGCTTTATGACATAACTTTTTGATTTGATTGAGATTGTATAATGTTCATGGACACTTTACATGTTCCGGCATAAAAAGCTAACATGGGACTCGTCACTTGGCCCAAATATAGAAAATTACTGTTCACTATGTGAAGTTATCTTCATTAGATGATGACATACCCAAAATCGAAGTAAGGTACCTTCAGGTAGTTTAGCTACAAGTACCTCTGATCACTTTCCACAAGTTTCACAATTGTAATATACCAGAGGTGATCTGTACTATAGGCTTATTTCTCAAAGATATGTGGTAATGGTTGCAATTAGATTCCTATGCAAGGTTTAGGCTTAAGGTTAGGGTTAAGTGCAACAATTAATATTTGGTCCAAGGTTGAAGGAATATGATTAGTGTTAGAAATAGACAGTGGGTCATTTGTTACCAAAGTATGTTTTGAAGAAGTAACTGGATAGCTGTTTCCTTATCAGACATACCACAGCATTGTTTTAGTACTGTGAGAAAGAGAGTGCCTCTTTATTACATATACTAGCTGTGACCTATAGATTGTTAATTCACCAATTACATTGAAATCTAAAACTGTAATCTTGATGAGGAAATAGATCACATGCTTAATAATTTTTACATCTTGTATTTAATAAAAAATACATGTAACAAAAGTACTTTCATATCTTCAGAAGATTGAAAACTAACATTGATCAAGATGTCTTTGTCAATGAATTGCATTAGTTACTAAATCTGTAAACATATTCTATGCTTTGCTTTACACTCAATCACCCATAATAAGTGAATCAATGAATATGAAGATCTGTATATTCAATTCAGCTTAATACACTGAAGATAGAGGGTCTGTTTACATCTTCATGAGATTGAAAAGAATTCACCTGATGTTTTCATTACAAATCTAAGACACCTAATTACCTTACACCTACTTAACACCATTAAAGTCACATTAGAGACAACCACATGTTACATCTCCAGCACTTATATATTGTGGTATTTTAAGTATGACAATTTTCAAAAGCAAGTTTTATGATGATTTGTCATTTCTGTATGTAAAAAAGGGATACATTACATCTTCAGAAGATTGGTAATAAGTGTTGGAATCAAGGTCCAGTTTATAAATGGGCCATCACTTGAGACCAGCTGCTGACAATGATGGTCTTATGATCCATCAGAAAGGTTGTCAGAACGGAGGCATACAGAGAATGATGTGTTGGTCTCATGGGCCGACGTTCTTGTGAACCCTCACTTTAAGACTGCACCAAGAGAAAACATGTTAGTCTTGTGGGCTGATCCATATTGCATTGTAATTACACTAATCTATACACTCCTCTTTTCTTTTCTTTTCCCTACAGATCAAATGATATTCAGCTTGTTCGATCTTGCCAAGGTAGGATAAACAGGTGTTATTGTGGTAATCAATCTTTACATTTCCATCTGCAAATTAACAAAGTAAGAATAAAAATCAAACGTGCAGGATTTTAACCATCATCCAATGAAACTCGTCAATGCTGTATATCTCAAGGTTATTGCTTAATCATGTACTAGTGCCACATTTAGTACTCCAGTTTGTGAATGCCTAAGATTCTCTTCCTCCTGACTTATCAGTATGATATTATCCCTGACAGAGAATCAAGTTTGTTGGAAGGAAATGTATATTTTTAAATAAATCGTATTGATCTTGATATTAGCCATCATGGAAAATATAAATATTACGAACTGCAACAATGCAGATGTTTGTGAGAAGCATTGCAGCTACATGTTCGTGAACATTTTCTTTAATTGCTTTTCCTCTCAACAGGCCTCTTATGTGAAAGCGAATGCCTTAGAAGTGATGGATATTGTAGATGTTCTTCATGTTGATCCAAACTATTCAGTCTCTGATGACAAGATGACACTCTTTCTGGTAAGCTGAATCTTCTGTTCTATGTATACATGTAGTTGAAGCCATATGTATGCTAAAATCATGTTGCAACCTAAATAACTAAAAGTTATTGCATGCAGTTTATTGGATGGCTTTCAGTTTCAGTCAATTGAGTGTGATACGAGAATATGTTGCTTGAAATGTCCAATATTGTCATAGCGAGAGCAAAATATTCTTATTCTTGTATCACCAAAAAACAAAGCCATACAATATTATTATTATCTAAACCAGGCTGACGCTCCGTTGTCAGAAGGGACACCAGTTTTGCACATTGGGTACAGATACCAGCGAAAGTGTTGCTGATTTCCGATAATCAAGCAATATTGTATTGACAGTTGAAGTTCCCAGATGACAGAGCCATACGAAAACAATATTGATCTGTCATTCGGGTACTGCGTTAAAGAAATTAAATACATTGATTTATTGTACCTCTTGAAAGCGTGATCTACAGGTGTAGATAATAATTTGGAATAATACACTTTTATGTATAATTTAAATAAATCTTCTTTTTATGCCTCCGCCACCGAAGGTGGTGCCGGAGGCATCATGTTTTCGGGTTGTCCGTCCGTACGTCCGTCCGAGTTTGCGATGGTATGCTTGTGTGTTTAGTTTTACGTATGAGATATCCTTGTGTGTCACTTTAGACTTGTGTGTCTAGCCACACAAGAAAACTATCATATTCAGTGTCTAAGATGTCTGACATGTCATTTCTAATCAAATAAGATTTAGTCACACAAGAAAAGTTTCTCCCCAAAAAAGGCCCAAAATAAATGTCCAAATTTTAGAGAGGGGTTGTGTCCAAGTAGCCATACGGAATAGTGCCATCTACAGTTGACATCCAGGTAGCTAGGTACTATGCGCATCTGCAGTACTTGTGTGTGTGTGTGACTTGTTAGTGTGTAGTATTTGTAAGCAAAGTAGTAGGCAGTGTATGGCTCTGTGTGTGTGTGTGTGTGTCATGGGTGGATGGTTTTGTGTGTGCAGTGTATATAATACATGTAATGTTTTTTTATGCCACACAAGCCTTAATTTTCTTGAATTGGACAGGGGTAGACAATAATGTCGTTCTGCCACACTAGCCTTAATTTTCACGACTTGGACAGAGGTATGTAATACATCTAATGTCTTTCTGCCACACAAGCCCTAATTTTCTTGACTTGGACAGGGGAAGATAATAATGTCTTTCTGACACACAAGCCTTAATTTTCTTGACTTGGACTGGGGTAGATAATAATGTCTTTCTGCCACACAAGCCTCTATTTTCTTGACTTGGACAGGGGTAGACAATAATGTCTTTCTGCCACACAAGCCTTAATTTTCATGACTTGGACTGGGGTAGATAATAATGTGTTTCAGCCACACAAGCCCTAATTTTCTTGACTTGGACAGGGGTAGACAATAATGTGTTTCTGCCACACAAGCCTCAATTTTCTTGACTTGGACAGGGGTAGACAATAATGTCGTTCTGCCACACAAGCCTTATTTTTTTTGACTTGGACAGAGGTATATAATACATGTAATGTCTTTCTGCCACACATGCCCTTATTTTCTTGACTTGGACAGGGAAAGTTAATAATGTCTTTCTGACACACAAGCCTTAATTTTCTTGACTTGGACTGGAGTAGATAATAATGTCTTTCTGCCACACAAGCCTTAATTTTCATGACTTGGACAGAGGTATATAATACATGTAATGTCTTTCTGCCACACAAGCCCATAATTTTGTTGACTTGGACTGGGGTAGATGACAATATCTTTCTGCCACACAAGCCCTAATTTTCTTGACTTGGACAGTGGTACAGGTATATAATACATGTAATGTTTTTATGCCACACAAGCCTTAATTTTCTTGACTTGGACTGGGGTAGACAATAATGTTTTTCTGCCACACAAGCCTTAATTTTCTTGACTTGGACTGGGGTAGATGACAATATCTTTCTGACACACAAGCCTTAATTTTCATGACTTGGACAGAGGTATATAATACATGTAATGTTTTTTTTATGCTACACAAGCCCTAATTTTCTGGACTTGCACAGGGGTAGACAATAATGTCTTTCTGCCACACAAGCCTTAATTTTCTTGACTTGGACAGGGGTAGACAATAATGTCTTTCTGCCACACAAGCCCTAATTTTCTTGACTTGGACTGGGGTAGATAATAATGTCTTTCTGACACACAAGCCTTAATTTTCTTGACTTGGACTGGGGTAGATGACAATATCTTTCTAGCAACACAAGCCTTAATTTTCTTGACTTGGACTGGGGTAGACAATAATGTCTTTCTGCCACACAAGCCCTAATTTTCTTGACTTGGACAGGGGTAGACAATAATGTCTTTCTGTCACACAAGCCTTAATTTTCTTGACTTGGACTGGGGTAGACAATAATGTCTTTCTGCCACACAAGCCCTAATTTTCTTGACTTGGACAGGGGTAGATAATAATGTCTTTCTGTCACACAAGCCTTAATTTTCTTGACTTGGACTGGGGTAGACAATAATGTCTTTCTGCCACACAAGCCCTAATTTTCTTGACTTGGACAGGGGTAGATAATAATGTCTTTCTGTCACACAAGCCTTAATTTTCTTGACTTGGACTGGGGTAGACAATAATGTCTTTCTGCCACACAAGCCCTAATTTTCTTGACTTGGACAGGGGAAGATAATAATGTCTTTCTGCCACACGAGCCCTAATTTTGTTGACTTGGACTGGGGTAGATAATAATGCCTTTCTGCCACACAAGCCCTAATTTTCTTGACTTGGACAGGGGTAGACAATAATGTCTTACTGCCACACAAGCCTTAATTTTCATGACTTGGACAGAGGTATATAATACATGTAATGTTTTTCTGCCAAACAAGCCTTAATTTTCTTGACTTGGACAGGGGTATATAATACATGTAATGTCTTACTGCCACACAAGCCTTAATTTTCATGACTTGGACAGAGGTATATAATACATGTAATGTTTTTCTGCCACACAAGCCTTAATTTTCTTGACTTGGACAGGGGTAGACAATAATGTCTTATTGCCACACAAGCCTTAATTTTCATGACTTGGACAGAGGTATATAATACATGTAATGTTTTTCTGCCACACAAGCCTTAATTTTCATGACTTGGACAGAGGTATATAATACATGTAATGTTTTTCTGCCACACAAGCCTTAATTTTCTTGACTTGGACAGGGGTAGACAATAATGTCTTACTGCCACACTAGCCTTAATTTTCATGACTTGGACAGAGGTATATAATACATGTAATGTTTTTCTGCCACACAAGCCCTAATTTTCTTGACTTGGACAGGGGAAGATAATAATGTCTTTCTGCCACACGAGCCCTAATTTTGTTGACTTGGACTGGGGTAGATAATAATGCCTTTCTGCCACACAAGCCCTAATTTTCATGACTTGGACAGAGGTATATAATACATGTAATGTCTTTCTGCCACACAAGCCTTAATTTTCTTGACTTGGACAGAGGTATATAATACATGTAATGTGTTTCTGCCACACAAGCCCTCGTTTTCTTTACTTGGACAGGGGTAGACAATAATGTCGTTCTGCCACACAAGCCCTCATTTTCTTGACTTGGACAGGGGTAGATAATAATGTCTTACTGCCACACAAGCCTTAATTTTCATGACTTGGACAGAGGTATATAATACATGTAATGTTTTTCTGCCACACAAGCCTTAATTTTCATGACTTGGACAGAGGTATATAATACATGTAATGTTTTTCTGCCACACAAGCCTTGATTTTCTTGACTTGGACAGGGGTAGACAATAATGTCTTACTGCCACACAAGCCTTAATTTTCTTGACTTGGACAGGGGTATGTAATACATGTAATGTCTTTCTGCCACACAAGCCTTAATTTTCTTGACTTGGACAGAGGTACATACATGTAATGTTTTTTTATGCCACACAAGCCTTAATTTTCTTGACTTGGACAGGGGTATATAATACATGTAACGTCTTACTGCCACACAAGCCTTAATTTTCGTGACTTGGACAGAGGTATATAATACATGTAATGTCTTTCTGCCACACAAGCCCTCGTTTTCTTGACTTGGACAGGGGTAGACAATAATGTCTTACTGCCACACAAGCCTTAATATCCATGACTTGGACAGAGGTATATAATACATGTAATGTATTTCTGCCACACAAGCCCTCGTTTTCTTGACTTGGACAGGGGTAGACAATAATGTCTTACTGCCACACAAGCCCTAATATCCATGACTTGGACAGAGGTATATAATACATGTAATGTCTTTCTGCCACACAAGCCTTAATTTTCTTGACTTGGACAGGGGTATATAATACATGTAATGTCTTACTGCCACACAAGCCTTAATTTTCATGACTTGGACAGAGGTATATAATACATGTAATGTTTTTCTGCCGCACAAGCCTTAATTTTCTTGACTTGGACAGGGGTAGACAATAATGTCTTACTGCCACACAAGCCTTAATTTTCTTGACTTGGACAGGGGTATATAATACATGTAATGTCTTTCTGCCACACAAGCCTTAATTTTTATGACTTGGACAGAGGTATATAATACATGTAATGTTTTTCTGCCACACAAGCCTTAATTTTCTTGACTTGGACAGGGGTAGACAATAATGTCTTACTGCCACACAAGCCTTAATTTCCTTGACTTGGACAGGGGTATATAATACATGTAATGTCTTTCTGCCACACAAGCCTTAATTTTCTTGACTTGGACAGAGGTATATAATACATGTAATGTTTTTTTTTATGCCACAGAAGCCTTAATTTTCTTGACTTGGACAGGGGTAGACAATAATGTCGTTCTGCCACACAAGCCTTAATTTTCTTGACTTGGACAGAGGTATATAATACATGTAATGTCTTTCTGCCACACATGCCCTTATTTTCTTGACTTGGACAGGGAAAGTTAATAATGTCTTTCTGACACACAAGCCTTAATTTTCTTGACTTGGACTGGAGTAGATAATAATGTCTTTCTGCCACACAAGCCTTAATTTTCATGACTTGGACAGAGGTATATAATACATGTAATGTCTTTCTGCCACACAAGCCCATAATTTTGTTGACTTGGACTGGGGTAGATGACAATATCTTTCTGCCACACAAGCCCTAATTTTCTTGACTTGGACAGTGGTACAGGTATATAATACATGTAATGTTTTTATGCCACACAAGCCTTAATTTTCTTGACTTGGACTGGGGTAGACAATAATGTTTTTCTGCCACACAAGCCTTAATTTTCTTGACTTGGACTGGGGTAGATGACAATATCTTTCTGACACACAAGCCTTAATTTTCATGACTTGGACAGAGGTATATAATACATGTAATGTTTTTTTTATGCTACACAAGCCCTAATTTTCTGGACTTGCACAGGGGTAGACAATAATGTCTTTCTGCCACACAAGCCCTAATTTTCTTGACTTGGACTGGGGTAGATAATAATGTCTTTCTGACACACAAGCCTTAATTTTCTTGACTTGGACTGGGGTAGATGACAATATCTTTCTAGCAACACAAGCCTTAATTTTCTTGACTTGGACTGGGGTAGACAATAATGTCTTTCTGCCACACAAGCCCTAATTTTCTTGACTTGGACAGGGGTAGATAATAATGTCTTTCTGTCACACAAGCCTTAATTTTCTTGACTTGGACAGGGGTAGACAATAATGTCTTTCTGCCACACAAGCCCTAATTTTCTTGACTTGGACAGGGGAAGATAATAATGTCTTTCTGCCACACGAGCCCTAATTTTGTTGACTTGGACTGGGGTAGATAATAATGCCTTTCTGCCACACAAGCCCTAATTTTCTTGACTTGGACAGGGGTAGACAATAATGTCTTACTGCCACACAAGCCTTAATTTTCATGACTTGGACAGAGGTATATAATACATGTAATGTTTTTCTGCCAAACAAGCCTTAATTTTCTTGACTTGGACAGGGGTATATAATACATGTAATGTCTTACTGCCACACAAGCCTTAATTTTCATGACTTGGACAGAGGTATATAATACATGTAATGTTTTTCTGCCACACAAGCCTTAATTTTCTTGACTTGGACAGGGGTAGACAATAATGTCTTATTGCCACACAAGCCTTAATTTTCATGACTTGGACAGAGGTATATAATACATGTAATGTTTTTCTGCCACACAAGCCTTAATTTTCATGACTTGGACAGGGGTATATAATACATGTAATGTTTTTCTGCCACACAAGCCTTAATTTTCTTGACTTGGACAGGGGTAGACAATAATGTCTTACTGCCACACTAGCCTTAATTTTCATGACTTGGACAGAGGTATATAATACATGTAATGTTTTTCTGCCACACAAGCCCTAATTTTCTTGACTTGGACAGGGGAAGATAATAATGTCTTTCTGCCACACGAGCCCTAATTTTGTTGACTTGGACTGGGGTAGATAATAATGCCTTTCTGCCACACAAGCCCTAATTTTCATGACTTGGACAGAGGTATATAATACATGTAATGTCTTTCTGCCACACAAGCCTTAATTTTCTTGACTTGGACAGAGGTATATAATACATGTAATGTGTTTCTGCCACACAAGCCCTCGTTTTCTTTACTTGGACAGGGGTAGACAATAATGTCGTTCTGCCACACAAGCCCTCATTTTCTTGACTTGGACAGGGGTAGATAATAATGTCTTACTGCCACACAAGCCTTAATTTTCATGACTTGGACAGAGGTATATAATACATGTAATGTTTTTCTGCCACACAAGCCTTAATTTTCATGACTTGGACAGAGGTATATAATACATGTAATGTTTTTCTGCCACACAAGCCTTGATTTTCTTGACTTGGACAGGGGTAGACAATAATGTCTTACTGCCACACAAGCCTTAATTTTATTGACTTGGACAGGGGTATATAATACATGTAATGTCTTTCTGCCACACAAGCCTTAATTTTCTTGACTTGGACAGAGGTACATACATGTAATGTTTTTTTATGCCACACAAGCCTTAATTTTCTTGACTTGGACAGGGGTATATAATACATGTAACGTCTTACTGCCACACAAGCCTTAATTTTCGTGACTTGGACAGAGGTATATAATACATGTAATGTCTTTCTGCCACACAAGCCCTCGTTTTCTTGACTTGGACAGGGGTAGACAATAATGTCTTACTGCCACACAAGCCTTAATATCCATGACTTGGACAGAGGTATATAATACATGTAATGTATTTCTGCCACACAAGCCCTCGTTTTCTTGACTTGGACAGGGGTAGACAATAATGTCTTACTGCCACACAAGCCCTAATATCCATGACTTGGACAGAGGTATATAATACATGTAATGTCTTTCTGCCACACAAGCCTTAATTTTCTTGACTTGGACAGGGGTATATAATACATGTAATGTCTTACTGCCACACAAGCCTTAATTTTCATGACTTGGACAGAGGTATATAATACATGTAATGTTTTTCTGCCACACAAGCCTTAATTTTCTTGACTTGGACAGGGGTAGACAATAATGTCTTACTGCCACACAAGCCTTAATTTTCTTGACTTGGACAGGGGTATATAATACATGTAATGTCTTTCTGCCACACAAGCCTTAATTTTTATGACTTGGACAGAGGTATATAATACATGTAATGTTTTTCTGCCACACAAGCCTTAATTTTCTTGACTTGGACAGGGGTAGACAATAATGTCTTACTGCCACACAAGCCTTAATTTCCTTGACTTGGACAGGGGTATATAATACATGTAATGTCTTTCTGCCACACAAGCCTTAATTTTCTTGACTTGGACAGAGGTATATAATACATGTAATGTTTTTTTTTATGCCACAGAAGCCTTAATTTTCTTGACTTGGACAGGGGTAGATAATAATGTCTTTCTGCCACACAAGCCTTAATTTTCATGACTTGGACAGAGGTATATAATACATGTAATGTTTTTTTATGCCACACAGGCCTTAATTTTCTTGACTTGGACAGAGGTATATAATACATGTAATGTTTTTTTTTATGCCACAGAAGCCTTAATTTTCTTGACTTGGACAGGGGTAGATAATAATGTCTTTCTGCCATGACAAGCTCCTTGGCTTTTCATTGGTTCCTCCACAGCATTGGAATATTATTGCATTACCTGTATTATATGTGTGTGATGTTTCTATTCAATGAGGAAAAAAGATAAATCAATTTTTTGGTCATTCAAAAGTCACAAATAAATAGTTGTATACTTTTTGGACATCAAGTTTTTTAGGCACACAAGCCTTAATTTTCTTGTCTTGGACAGGGTAGCTGATCGTCTTTTCTGCCACACAAGCCTCAATTTCCACGACTTAGGCGGGTAAATGATGTGTTTTTGCGGGACACAAGCCTTAATTTTCCTGACTTGGATAGAGGTAGACAATAATGTCTTTTGGGCATACAATTTTAAAAACCAGTCTCAACACATATTGTATTAAAAAACACACAAGATGCATTTTCATTTAATTTTAGACAAACACACAAGAAGTTGGGAATTAAGACACACAAGTAGTCTTTAGAAGGAAAAAATGAAAAGACACACAAGATACCCCTTTTTTTCAGACACACAAGACAAAAATCTCACAAGCATACTGTCGTGAGTAGTACCGTCCGTCCCGTTTGACCGTTATCACAATATCTCAAGAACCATTTAAGATTTAAACTTAAGACTCGGGAATAGTATTTATCACCATAGGAAGACGATCTGATTAGATTTTGGAGTACGTAGGTCAAAGGTCACAGGTCACAGAGGTCAACTTATGAAATTCCCTGTATTGAGTTTGTTAGCGCGATATCTCAAGAACCATTTGAGATTTAAACTTTAAACTTAAGGATAGTATGTATCACCATAGGAAGACGATCTGATTAGATTTTGGAGCACGTATGTCAAAGGTCAAGGGTCACAGAGGTCAACTTATGAAATTCCATACATTGAGAATGTTATCATGATATCTCAAGAACCACTGGAGATTTAAACTTCAAACTTAGTGATAGTGTGTATCACTATAGGAAAACAATCTGATTAGATTTTGGAGCACGTATGTCAAAGGTCAAGGGTCACAGAGGTCAACTTATGAAATTCCATACATTGAGATTGTTATCATGATATCTCAAGAACCACTGGAGATTTAAACTTCAAACTTAGTGATAGTGTGTATCACTATAGGAAAACAATCTGATTAGATTTTGGAGCACGTAGGTCAAAGGTCAAGGGTCACAGAGGTCAACTTATGAAATTCCATACATTGAGATTGTTATCATGATATCTCAAGAACCACTGGAGATTTAAACTCCAAACTTGTTTAAATTGCTCTATGGCGGAGGCATCATTTTCGACTGCGCGCAGTCAAAATTCCATCTAGTTTTTTATAATTCTTTTATTCATTGAAATATGCACTTGAGTTTTAAAACTAAGTATTACAATGTGAATACGGAATAAGAATTTGTTTAAATATTTGAAAAATTGTTATGAATATGTTCTTTCTTTCTGTTATAGTGTGCATGCCTTGGAGGAAATACATGCCTTGTGAGCTATCTGTTGAAAAGAGGTGAGTTGTGTGATCAATGCAAATTACTATTTTAACCAGTGTTTGTCAGCATTCTGTGTACACATTTTGGCCCAAATTTCTTGTCTGTAGAAGCACAATAACACTGTTGCAAATTTTACAGAAAGACACTGAAGACCTAAATACATGAATACTTTTTCTATAAACCTGACCATAATATGTTTGTTTACACGTTTTCAAGACTTAACTTTATTAATGTTGCATTTTCTGAAGTATATTTACTATCTTGTTTAAGTGAAATATTTGTAATCAAAATGTTGAGTTATACACTACACATATGCTCAAGGATTTATTCACTAAGAAACAGGGTTAGGGTTATTGTTTGGTTATGTTTAATCCAGCTTTTCATGAAGTTACCAATATTTGGTTAGTTTTAGAATTTGACCACAATTGTTACTGGTGAATTTACCATAGGACCCTAGAATCATAGTAAGCTCATGTGTTCTTCTTTTTAATATTGTTATGATAGGAGCCGATGTGAAGAGAAGGAATGCACATGGGGACACCTGCCTCCATCTTGTGGTGTTTGCAACATCGGGTTCACGACATCCAACCAAACGCCTTGTTGAAATTCTACTCAACAGTGGTAAGACTCCGTATAAAAATGTCATCTCGCAGGAGCAAGGGGGGAGGTGAGGGTGAAGGCAACCCACAATTTGTTTTTTTATAATCCTACAAATTCTACATTTTGGAATACCTACAACCATTTTTTTTTCCCTTGTATGAAATTTTGTTACACTTTTTTCTCCATATTTTGGAGAATTTCCTGCTTTTGTGTCAGTAAATTTAGTGCAACACCCCCTCCCCACCCTTTTACATAAGGGTCAGATAATGCATCGGTATTGCAAATCATATTGATGTAACCAATGGATAAATAAGAGAAAGTCCTTTGTTGTGAGAAAATGTGGGATCCAATTTAAGAATTCAGTGTAAGTGACAAATACCTTGTTTTATCATGGCTTTTGCATGGCAATTTCACTAAAATATGCCCTATGCTTTAATTTGAAGCTACATGTATATACTTGTAGAATTCTATCATTATTAAACATGTGAGAATTATATGATTACATATATTGTGAACAGGGGCAGATGCGAATGGGCAGAACACTAAAGGGGATACCCCCTTACACATTGCAGCCATGACCAATGATCCAGATATGATTCAGCTTCTATTGCTCTATGGTAAGATAGTAATTTTGTGCATACTTTTTTAACAAAGGTTGTTCTTGACAACCTGAAAGCTGGTCCGATGCTTGCCCGACATAGCAACAAGTAAAGTATGCAGACTAGATTCGAGTATAGTGGTTCATTCATTGATAACAGGTTGATGTAATAACTTCTTAAGTCCCATGGATAGAAACATCCATAAATTTTAATATGTTTATGAACCGGGCTATTTGATAGGGTGATGTATTGTACTATCTGCATTTTCAGAATGCAAACTTAAAGTCTGTGCTATTTGGAACAAGGCACAATTTTTCAGCCCTATACAAGTATAGTATTGAGGCCTCATTAAGATTGTTCATAAATTTTATAAGTAGGATGACATGTATGATTTTAGAAATGTTTATAGTGCGGTACAAAAAGAATTATTATTGAAAATCAACAAGAATCCCCTAAGCTTTCACTATGAAAAATGGATGCCCTTTCTTTGCTTAAAATTACCAGGTATATTTTTTTTTCTCCCACCTTTCTTTGGTTATATTCTAAGAGTAATGGCAAATTGAAGTGTGTTCAAAGCCATATGTTAAAAAAAGCGAAATTTAAATTTGCTGTAAATTTACTTTTTCTGAAGTCAGAGATTTCTAAGAATAAATTAGGTTGACTTAATATATTTTAAAAACTTAGTTTAGGGATACAGATTATATTTAACAGCAAAGTGTTATTTCCAGAGTGAATACAGAGAGAAATGCAGAGAGAAATTATTTGTCATTACCAAGTTTCTCTTTGTGTGTTTTCAGGAGCCAATCCATCAATCAGCACCTATGATGGTATCCTACCGATTCATATTGCAGCAAATGCAGGTTAGTCATGTACATGGACTCTGTAAATCATTTCATTTCACTGTAAATCATGCAGGCTGTCTAAGTGAATTCCTCTGTCTACAAATCCCCAATCAATTGGTTAAGGTCCAAATGAAAGACACATCAGTCATACTGTTAATTCATTTTAATGTATGTTTGTGTTTGTGTGTGTGTGTGTGTGTCAGGCGCGTACACAGGGGGGGGGGGGGGGTTGAACCCCCACCCCCCCCCCCCCCTTGAGTTTTTTTTTATGTGTATTTTTTGTGTATGTTTTATGGAAAGGGGTGGTCAGCCAAATGAAAATTCTCTCCAATTCAAGCAAATAAAATAGTGTTAGTGAATTTTGCTTGACATTTATAAAAGATATAGGAGAGGTTTAGATCCAATAAAGCATAATGTTTGGTCAAGGGATGGATGACATTATCTTGTAAATATTGACCACACAGCAATTGTCATATCCACCACCGTGCCATCTTTTTTTCTAGGTTACATGTCGGCTGCCAAACTTCTGATGGTGAAACTGGAGAGCACTGCGGGATGGAGAGAAGGGGATACCCCTCCTAAAGTCACCATTGGACTACTCAGTCCTGAGAAGGCCCACCTTGTCATGTCTTCAAAGCCAAAGAGGATGGCCTATTCTACATGAATGAATAGCATTTCAATATCCTAGAGTCTGTCCTATTGAGACACATGGCCTTCTCTTGGATTACGAGTACGGTCAGTGGTCACATTGAGGATGTTATCTCTTCTTAAAGCCCACAGCAGGCACTACACAATCTGACTGCTCATCCTTTTTTTTTAAGAAATTGCATTAATTAGCATAAGAAATTGAATTTCAAATGTTTGGAATCTTTCTGATGCAAGTTTTTTTTTTGGTAATATGAAAAATAATATTCTGACCATACACAAGGGTACCGCATGCCTTTCAATGGGCAAAATCAGCCTGGAGTGATGTCCTACCAATAGTAGACCGAATTTGAAGCTGAAAATGTGTCAGGAAGTGCAACGTAATTTTTAGTTCAAACTATGCCGTTCATGAGTGATTGGGGCGGGGTTGCCTGTGGCTTCCCGCCTAAACAAAATATGCCATCATTAATGTACAAAAATGCATGCCGGCAAACCTATCTTTTAGTTCTCTCACCCCCACGTAGTTTGTGAACTGTTTGTGAGAGATTCTTCACCCTGTCAAACTGAAAATTAAATCACCTGTCAGATATGTCAAATTTAGTAATTGAAAAAATGAAGATGTAAACATTGGTTTAAAGTTACGGTAGTTCATCATTTTATACTTGAAGCATAAAAGAGAGTAAAAGAATAGAAAGAGAATAGGATAAGACTGTATGTACAAAAAGCAAGTTGTGTAATCAGTTTTTACGTTGTTTTTCATTTGTAAATGTATTTTGTGAATATACAATTTATAACTATACAATTTTATTATAATATGAGCTTGTTTGTTTCAATATGAATCAAAGAAAAGGAATGTTAAGTTAGTGTGACGTGTACATGCTTACATGAACTTTCATGTTATATTTATTAGATAGTATTTTAAAAGAGAAAAGATAGTTATTCAGATTTGTATTATTTTGTGCAAAGGTATATCATATTTTATTGTTAAAAATTGTATAAATAGCTGTATAGATATATTAAAGGTGATGTCTATTTTGGTATCATTTTGGTTAATAACACTGTAAATAGTCATAAATTCACACCGGATAAAAATAGTGGGGCTGTTTCAATCTTTAATCAACAAAATAATGACAAGCATAAAATATGTTAACAATTGCATTTGGAATCAACAAAAATTGACAATCTGCAATACAGGAACAAATCACTACCCCTCAAGAATATATGATTCTTCCCAGGTGTACAAATACGTAAAAGGTTTATCAATAGTATGGATGAAGAAAAAAAATTCTTTAAGCCAATATGTAATGCTACATGATGATGGACACTTCCTTACCTCTTTCTTTGATGAAGTTGTATATTTATAGATAGTGGAGTTTAGTTTTTCACTTTAAAAAGATGAAAAAAGTTCAGTTGCAAACCATATAACTTGCCAGTAAGTTGGTAAAACATGCCTAAAATTTATTTATGAGAAAAGTACTTAACTTTCCTTTGGAAGTAAAATCATTTCATATTTGAATATTGAACCAACCATGCTTTGTCAATTTTGTGTCATTTGTTATCTATTCACATGTACATAAAATATAATACTGTAATTACTCATGTAGATTTTAATTGTTTAGCAGTCAAAGACAACCAATATGTAATCACCATTTGGTTGCATCTGCTTTGACATCATTTTGAATATACAGTTGGGTGCTAATCATATGACTGCATTGTAAAAGAAACTGTGGAAGCAAGCAGAAAGGATTGATCATGTGGCACATACTGTGAGGTTTTTAATCATCCAAATGTAAGAAATTGGCACAGTCTTGCAAACAGTTACATTCACTGTACACAGAAATGTGTATGTGGGACTTCACAAATATGTTGCATGAAAGTGTTGTTGACAACCTTTAGCGTTAACTTGTCATATTTCAATATACTACCTGACATGAAAGAAAGAAAAAGCTCACAAATTATTTTTCACCTTTCCAAGAACTCAACCTTTTCTTTAATGGGGAATCCACCCTGATAAATATGTTGGTTTTAATCAAAGCAGAAAAATAAGAAGAACCAAATGAAGAAAATTTGAACAATATCCAATTTAAAATATGGTAGAGTTATTAATTTTAAAAATGTCATCAGTGAAACACATATTGGCAACACTGAAGTATCTTGCGAGCTCCTCTCCAATTTGCTCTGTACAGAAACAACAAAAAATTCTTAGTTATTGATGATGGAATGGATTTATTTCATACAAGGGTTGTATATAAATTTATTTGCAACAATTTTATATTGGGTGTATGATTTATTGAAAATTTTCTTAAGGGAAATCATAAATTTAATGTTTTTTGGTACAGGGTAAATGGAATGGGACCTACCAAGATACGTCCCAGAGTTGCCAATATGTGATTGATTGCACTTTCAAAAATTCAAAAATGCATAACTTACTTATTTTTTACTTGTGTTTTGCTCAAGCTTTCACTGACCTGTTCCTCTCATTTATTTGCTTCTACTTAGCCAACTTAATATTAGGGTGGACTTCCCCTTTAATCTGGTTATAAAACAGATTGAACATGAAATCAAAAATGTGCTAAGGATACCTGAATCCCCATATGGACATGAAACAAAAAAAAACCACTTAAAGAAACACTGGCCAAATTTGATGTGCATTTAGACAAAGAGAACACAAGCCAATGTCTTGTAACAAAAACCAAAATTAACACAACTCGTATGCATCTGTATATTGTGATATACAGTTGTGTGATCCACAATAGACTTATCTAATTTTACATTTTTACGGCAGATATCTTCTTAAAGCTCAGATATGATGTGATAAACTGCTGCAAAAAAACCCACTGCATATTTCTATTACATGTTAATGAGCTCTGCATTACAAGAGTAAAGATACAGAAATGTTATTAAGTGTATTACACTTTCTTTGGGTCATTATATTTTTAAAAAACGCCTTGTAGTTAACATGTATTGGAACAAGCCTTTAAATGGCTTACCGCCTCATGTAGGATGTCACATCCTCAAAGGCATTACTTTTATTTACATACAGCTGTTTACAGTTTGATTTTATACACATACATGAACATACATGCATCTATTTACAAAACATGGTCTTATTTACCAGACTGTATGAGTGAATTGATCATCATTATGGTTATATACAAACAAAATCTTTAAAAATACTTTCAGATGCACCAGAGCTGTTGATTTCATCACTCTAAACTTGGCAAGTTTTCACAGTATACCTGAGAAAGTGTCCAAAAGGTGTGTTTACTAATAAGTTTGTTAGTCATAACTGGTACACAGTTATATTGTTATTTGAACACTACTGTAAAACCAGCTCATGAGTGTGCAGCTTCACAAAATTTGTCATTTTTGCAGCAAAATTGTGCAATAACAGCCATGACAATTTTAAATTTTACAATAAGTGAAAGTTTCTTGCCAGAAATCGGCTGTCACAAACAGCTCACGTAAATTTCTGGTACAAGTATTACAGTACCATAGCTGTAAAAGAATCTTCTGTATGCGTTTTTCTATACATATTACCATTCTTGCAGTCAAATTCAAGCCTGAAACCGCTTTCACAAGCCAAAGAAAACTGTTGGTTTACTGAGCACTGGATTTCTTTAGCATACTTACATGAACCACAATTTACATTATTGTATCTCATAACATACAAATGTGTGGATGCATGTAGGACAATTGTTCCATTCAGCTACCATTTTTTATCCCCACTTGCCATTCATGTAATACACAAAAAGTGTTGTGGTAAACTGCTGCACATGCGGTAAACCACTGCACATTAGCGGTTTCTTTTGAGCATTAGATGGCACTTCTCTAAGGCCTCACTGGGCGCAGTCTTATTGTAACTAGGTTGGATCATACTCAGACACTAGCATGGTGTTTTTAAGAAGTCACTACCCAGTAATATTTTTAAAGGTGCCTTCTAGCAGCCCAGTACACTCGCTTTAGAACATCTACCCATTGCATAATCTTACCCCACATAGACCCAAGATGGTCTAGACATACTCAGCCACCTATCACATTACAGCAATGCAAAACTGGCTCAAAAAACATTTAATACATTTGCCCTTGGGACAATATTTACCCTGCAAAGAAGATAGACAGAGATAGTTTAGGATTTTCATTTAGAATAATGAAGAAAGATCAAGATGCCACTGTGAAAGAACAGAGAAAGGGACAAACAGAGAGAGAGAGAGAGAGATGGAGAGAGAGAAGAAAAACAATTAAAAACCAATACTTTTATCCTTTTTCTATCCATTACTTCTCTTACACTGGAAAATCAATTGGTTTTAAAAAAAATTCTTATATGAAAAAAGATAAATGTTTCTCCAAGATTACATCCCCTATCAAAACGTTAGAGCCTCATTAAAGGAAGTTCAAATTTGTCCAGATAAACATGTCAAAACCATTGAAAGTAGAGAAATTTGTAGAAATTATCTTATTTAATTGCTTTGACTCATGATCCTGGGAAAGTGGGCAACTCATCATTTAATTAATAATGGTTCCTGTGAGAAACTGAAGAAAAAACCTAGAACACAAGTAAAGAAAGTAGAATAAGAAAGAGAAAAGGTGCAGGGGGGAACAGACAAAACACAAACACATACTTCTCCTTCCACAACCTTTCTATATTATGTGACCAAGCAAGCTAGGCTTGTTGGTCGGCACTCTGTCATTGTGGCGGCATGGGGATTCCCCTTGGATCCATAGCGCTAGTCTCTGTAAGGTTCTTGATAAGCTGGGCCAGCCAGCGCTTGGTGGAGTTGTCATCCTTGAGGACAGCCATGAAGGTCTGGTCCTTGAGCTGGTCTGGGAGGCACTGCCTGAGTGCACCCCGGGCTCTGCATGAGTGCAGAAAAACAAGTAGAGATGATCATGAATGTAAAGCCTATCTGCACTAGTTTGGCCAGGAGGGATTAGACCTCCCTGCATGGTCACTGATAGGTTGTTATATCATCAAATCAGCTCTCAATTATCATAAGCAAAAGGGGATCATAGGGGACAAATGGGTACCATTTACGCATTGTTTGCTATATAGAGGGCACACGTAGCTACAAGTAGTGCAGTCCCGCTTTAACATTCTGTATATGTAAAGTGCATAATGTTTTAGGGGAGCAAGTATCATTAAACATGTACACAGAGGTAATGCCCTTCTGGCTCGAAAACATATATCATATGAAATAATGTTCCTGTGCACACCTCCAAATTGGTTTGAACATAATCACCCTAGCGATAGCTATGGCAACCATCATCAACCTATAGAGGAAATCAAGAAATACATTCTGCAAGATAGTACCTATTTCACATCTGGGTTGAGAAACACAACTGTAGATAAAATGCCTTATGTAATGGCATAGACGCTGGGCAGTGAATGCTCCTAAATTGTTTGCATCCATCAAAATGGCAAGGTCAAAGCTATTTTAATGCAAAGAGCCAATGTTTCCCATTTACACTACGGTTCTGAACATTTGCCCCAAAATTCTGAGCATGGTGATTCATTCACTTTGAGAGTAGTTCAAATACAAGTAATTTTTCTTGTAGAAGCAGGTTTGATTATTCATTAAATACATTTTCTGTTAAAACATAAATTGGTTCCTCTCACTAATTTGGGTGCATTGAGAAACAGGTCTACAACATTCAGGTACAACAGTTCAATGTGAACTACAGAGTTTTCTTTCACAATGGACCCTTTCACAATAGATTTTTGACTACATCAAATAAGTATTTACCTTTGGTTATCTGAAAGTCTGAGGTAGCATCTAACAACGTGCTTCAAGAGCCTTGCAGATGGTTCCTTCGCCAGCGCTATCACCATCTTACCCTGCAAGCAATCAGAACAAGATGAAATGCATGAATTTCAGATGAATAGACAAAGTACATTTGATATATGTGAAGAAATTCATTTATCAAGCATAGTGCTAATACTCCCTGGACTGCATAACTAAAATAGACAGGAAGAACATTCAAGAATTTC